CCATGCTTGGAGAGAGAATTTATATGATAAACTGGCAAAATGCTGAAAATATGTTTCTCAGCAGAAGGTATAACAAGAAGAAAATATTCCTCTCTTACCAGCTAGATTGAGAATCTCAAGAAAATCTCCTTAGCTGAGAAAATATCTAGAATAGCCTACTTAAGTTAGGTGATTTCCTATGGGCCATGCATGTTGGCTAGAAAAAAGGCTTTACAGAGAATTTTAAAAATTCTAATGCAAAAAGAAGAGAAATATGTTATAAAGGCAAAGGGAGAAGAAGTAGAGGAAAAAAGAGAGTCAGCAAGATGACGGGAGCTAGATGCTATTTTACCATTGCCCAGCAAGTTTGGTTATTAAATGCTTGAGATGCTTGGTGTAGTTGAATTCTTCTGAAACTCAAAGAGGTTTTACACCTAAGTTATAGTGGTCATGCCTACTGCCATGAAGAACATAAGATCAGGGAGATTCAGCTGATGTTTAGGTTATACTCCTGATTTTTAGATTGAAAGTAGTTGGAATTAGGGTTATCATGGTGTTTAATTAGATTTTGGTTTGTTATGGTAACATTTTAAGGGACTCAGAAATTAAAATAAAATCTTTATTGACCACTAATGTAAATCAGTCACTGAACTAAGGCAATGGGGATACAAGATAAAAAATTAGATCCCCCAGCTCATAAAAAAGGTCAAAATCCCGTGGTAAGAGATATCCCCCTTTTTCCCAGTCAGACTGTGTAAGGTCTATGCTAGGAAAATAAAATCTCACAGACTAGAGCTAAAGAAACAATATTGCTGTGGTTGTGGTTGGGAGTATCAGGGAAGACTTCGAAGAGGAGATAACATTTTAACCCAGCTTTTAAAAGTGAACAGATTTCCAAAGCTGTGCTCAGTTTAGTTGGAATAGTAAAAATGGTTGGCATAATGGGATACAAGTGCAGGAGATGAAGGTGAACGGGCTGGTGAGTAATTTTGAGGGAAAACAGTGAGGTTTTCACAAGCAAGAAAATTACATAACCAGGTCATAATTTAGAAAATATTCTGATGGATGCTGTGCTAGAAGGAAGCAACTGGAAGAATGGAGCCTACTCAAGTGATTCTAGCAATGTTCAAAGCAAGAGAAGAGGAGTGTCCAAAAAGGCAGAGAGACACTGGGCACTGAGAGGAGCGAATTGATTTTTGTTTCAGGCCCCTTATGTCTGAGGGCAAATTGTTTGGCAACTGTGGGCTAAGAGAACATTCAGGCATACATGTTCTGCATATTGAATGTACAAATGTGTTGAGAATAGACTGGAGGGTAGACACAGACAAAAGCAGAGATAGTGTGAAGGCCAACTGCAATAATCTAAACAAGAGACGAGGAGAATTTGGCCAAGAAGACAGAAGTACAAGTGGGGAGAAGTGGTCAAATCCTGAATATATTTTGAGAATACTGCTGATAAGGTTTGCTAAGGTGTCAGATATGAAGTTTGAGAGACAGGAGTCAAGGATGACTACAAGATTTTTGGCCTGAGCAACTGAAAGATTGCTGTTGCCATTAACAAAGATGGGGAGGACTGAGAGGAATGGGGAGGGGAGGGGGAAATAAGCTTGAGGTGCCTGTTTTACATCAATAGGAAATATGATATATTTACCTGAAAATATTTGACTTGGGGATTGGTTTAATTAATGGATGATGGTTAATTGTGGATCTATCTTCACCTTTGTGTCTTTAAATAATCATACGAGGATCTGATTCTTCTTTTTTTTTTAAGATTTTATTAATTTATTTGAGAGAGAGATTGAGCACGCAAGCAGGGGGAGGAGCAGAGGAAGAGGGACAAGCAGACTCTGTACTGAGTGTAGAACCCAACAATAAGAAAACAAATCAATTTAAAAATGGGCCTACAACCTTAACAGACACCTCACCAAAGAAGATACACAGATGGCAAATGGCCATATGAAAACATGCTCCATATTATATGTCATCAGAGAAAAGGAATGAGTTCCCACTGCACACTTAGTAGAATGGACAAATCCCAAACACTGACAACACCAAATTTTGGCAAGGATGTGGAGTAACAAGAATTCTCATTCATTGCTGGTGGTAATGCAAGATGGTATAGCCACTTTGGAAGACAGTTTGGCAGTTTTTTATAAAACTAAACATATGCTGGGGCACCTGGGTGACTCAGTTGTTTAAGCATCTGCCTTCGGCTCAGGTCATGATCCCAGGGTTCCGGGATCGAGTCCCGCATCAGGCTCCCTGCTGAGAAGGGAGCCTGCTTCTCCCTCTCCCTCTGCCCCTCCTCCCTGCTTGGATTCTCTCTCTCTCCCAAATAAATAAAATCTAAGAAAAAAAAAACTAAACATATGCTTATCATGTGACCCAGTAATCATGTTCCTTGGTATTTACCCAAAGGCAGTGAAAATTTATGTCCACACAAAAACCTGCATACACTAGCTTTATTCATAATTGGCAAAATGTGGAAGCAATCAAGATATCCTTCAGTAGGTGAATGGATAAACTGTAGTATATCCAGACAATGGAATATTATTTAGCACTAAAAGGAGATGAACTGTCACACCATGAAAAGACGGAGAAAACTTAAATGTATATCACTAAGTGAAAGCAGCCAATCTGAAAAAGCTACATACTGTGTGATTCCAATTATATGATAACCTGGAAAAGGCAAAACTACACAGACAGTAAAAAGATCACTGCTTGCCAGGGGTTGGTGGAGTAGGGATGAACAGACAGAGCACAGAGGAATCTTAGGGCAGTGAAAATACTCCGCATGATACTATAGAGATGGATACATGTCACCATATATTTGCCCAAACTCATAGAACGTGCCACACCAAGAGTGAACCCTAAGATAAACTATGGACTTTGGGTAATTATGATGTGTCAGCGTAGGTGTAGGTTTATCAACTGCAGCAAATGTACCGCTCTTCTGGGGAATGTTCATAATGAGAGAGGCTATGTGGGAAATCTCTGTATTGTCTCTTCAATTTTGCTGTGAACCTAAAACTGCTCTAAAAATTAAAGTCTTAAACACACGTACACACACACACACACACATACACACACACACACAGTCCAGAGAGGCAAAACTTGAGACAGAATTTTTCCATATTTATTTAGCTTTCTTTTAGCTAAGGAAGCACAGTTTGAAACAACTCACTAATTTTACAATTCTGCAGTTACAATTAATATCATAACATGCATGAATAATGCTCTAGATAATGCTCTTTTTGAAGAGGTCCATAAGGCATTTGAGAATTCCTTAAATACCTTACATGTTATCATCATAATAGTGTCAGTTATATCATTGCAAGTTCACATAGTAAAACATGTTGTACATACTGAAAATTCCTTTTCCAAAGCTGGTCATATTTGAGCTGATTTCCACAAACTTGTAACTGCTAATCTGTGTAGGTGGCTCAGTGAGCTACTTAACAAAGCAGTGCTAAAAAGCCTGGAAATCTAATTTTGAGAGGCCAAAACCCCTACTTCCACTTCCAGTGAATAAAATGGAATGTGAACATTCACTTCAATTGTAAAGTAAGTAATAACGGAAGCAGAACTCAGGAAAAGTACATGTTGGTCTCTTGGCCTAAACTTCCACTGTCTGCCTGCCAAACACTGAGTCTTAAATATTCAGTTCTACTGCCACCTACTTTCAAAATTGTGTTCCTTTCCACAGCCTCTTCTGTGGACATAACAGCACTTAACACACTAAACTGTAATCACTGGTTTTGTCTGAACTTTGTATCAGCATTTGAAGACAGACTGTTCTTTCTCACCTACATTTCCTGATCATCACATGTTAAATACTTAGCAAATGTTTGTTAAATGGATAAATGAATGAATATTTATTTCAGATGTTGTAACTAAATATCCCAGATGTTGTAATTAAACACTGTAGTAAGTATTTCATTACTTAAAACTATGTTTATTTTTTTTTAAAGATTTTTATTTATTTGACAGAGAGAGACACAGTGAGAGAGGGAACACAAGCAGGGGGAGTGGGAGAGGGAGAAGCAGGCCTCCCGCCGAGCAGGGAGCCCGATGCGGGGCTTGATCCCAGGACCCTGGGATGATGACCTGAGCCGAAGGCAGACGCTTAACGACTGAGCCACCCAGGCACCCCTAAAACTATGTTTAATATCATGCCGAATATAAGAAAGAAAACTAATCATCTCAGCCTACTTCTAACATCAATATTTTAATCTTTGTGTTCATTTATATTCATGCACATGGTGTTACTATACACTGGCACAATGTAGGATTAGCTTCAGTACCTTACTCTTCATTCACATTCACTATTGTTAGTGTAGATCAGCACAATCCCTAAAGAAATATGTCTAACGAAATGATATATCAGTAATGCTAACATTGAGCTATTAAAATAAATTTTCTCATCCAAGCTTATCTGTCTCTACTTTCAAATCAGGATTTCTTCATGATAAAAGCCAGGCCTAATCACTTTTTAATTCTACCTTTCCTTTGGTACAATATACAAACCATAAAATGATAATTTCCACCAGTTTTCAATACATTACTATAACCGTTTTATGTTTCTTCCCCATTTATGTTCTTACAGGTAAAATGTCATGACAGTGAATTCTCTTGGATAGCCAAATTGCTTGTTCTTGTAAATTCACCATTAGAATTTACCTTATGTATATTATATAGCTTTAAGGAACAATTTATCACAAAAATGTTAGGCTTCAAGAAGTGAAAACTAGCATCTCAAATCTGAGTAAAAAGTGACACATATACAATTCTTTCCATCAACAAGAACAGAAATCACTATGTAGTATGGTACTCTTCATTTTGAAATTTTGTGTGTTATATAACTGTCAAGAAATGGTTAATTTCTTTTTCCCCTTCATAGTAACAAAGGCTCCAATAAAGTACTTTCTATACCAGTTTATTCTTCATAAATAAGTCACTATTATAATAGACCATGGAGAAATGAAAATATTTAAACTTTAAAAAAAAATAGCCCTTCCTGATTAATGGGATTTGTTTTAATGGGATTTTACCTATAGTATCTTATACCTTAAATGAGTAACCATTAAAACAAAGAAGTCAATGACAAAGTATCCATGGAATTGTATCACATATCTCAGGAAACAGACATTCAGAAAAGATTTAAGGCTAACCAGTAATAGCCTCTCATAAAACCCAATGAACCTTACAATTGTAATTAGACTTCAAAAGGACCAAAATATTAGTTTATGTTGAGCCAAGATTAGGAAAATCTTCCACTGTTGACATTTTCATGTTCTTAGTTTTTCAATCAAACAGTCGGCCTGTAATTTTGAAAACACAACGTATTTTTAAATTCTAGTTATTAGAGCCTATATTAAATAATTCTACTGGCATCCCTATTATATTAAGTCAGAGCAGAAGAGCTGGATATTACATATTCTGTTCCTAAATATATCTTATAAAAAATTTCTCAATATAATAGTTTTATAAACTATAGTAAAGGTATTCCACATTGTATATACATAGGCAGATTTTTATAGACATTGCATTAAAAAGCTTCAATAAGAAAAGGAAAATAAATATAATAGTAACATTTTACAAAGTAAACTAGATGTGGAGGAACCTTAAGTGCATATTACTAAGTAAAAGAAGCCAATCTGAAAAGGCTACATGCTGTATTGTTCCAACCATATGACATTCTGGAAAAGGCAAAAGTGTGAAGGCAGTAAAGAGATCAGTGGTTACCAGGAATTAAGGGAGAAGGAGAGGTGAATAGGTAAAGCACAGAGGTTTTTATTATACCATAATGTTGGATACATGTTACTACACATTTGTCCAAACCAATAAAATACAGAACACCAAGAATAAACCCTAGTGTGAATCACGAACTTTGGGTAAAAATGATGTGTTAGTATAATTTCATGAATTATAACAAACATTATCACTGTGGTATAGGACGTCCATAGTGGGAGACTGTGAGGGTATGGGTGATAGAGGGTATATGGGAACTCTCTGTACTTTCCATTCAATCTTGCTGTGAGCCTAATAGTGCCCTAAAAAATAAAATCTATTAAAAAATTAAAAAGTAAACCGAAGTCTTCTAGTTATTATTTCAAATATTTTCTCTATCTGAAACATAAGAGATTTTGAAATAAATCTTAGTATCTTTATCTTGATTTTTTTCAAAGTCTCATAATATATGCTGACAGATCTAAGGAGAGTTCAGATTCACAGAATGAACCATTAACAGATCTTATAACTGTTCATTTTTTTCTAACTAAAATGTTCATGTAAGGAAATACAGTTAAAAATATTACAAAAAATGTATTTTTCATTACTTTCTTATAAAAGCATGGAGCATGTAGAAAATTAGAAATACAAATAAGGAAAAAAATCCCTTTTTTAATCACACTGATTTTTTAAAGAGACCACACCAACTGCCTTATCGAATATTCTACTAATTTTTATTTAGAACACACACACACATAAATATCTTAAATTATTTTTAAATTAAATAAAACCATCTGGACAATTTGAAGAGAGGGATACTAAGTTTGAAATATGAAGTTTCTAGAAATCATGCTTTTTAATTTCTTGGGTACCATGACTATAATAATGATACGCATTAACAGCAATTATTTAATTTGTAATTCAGTGATTATTTAAAAATAGCAACTATAGGTCTCCTTATCCTCATGGACACATAGGGACTGGTAAATTACTAGCCAAGTGGCCCTGGAAGGACAGTCACTTAATAACCAAGGCTTGACTGTCAGGCAACAGGCCTGTAATCAGCTTGAATTCTATTCTACTTTTACCCTAGCAAAGCAGAATTCTATAATTTTTTAGGCTCGATGGCTTCAACCTCAGATCTGACAGTTAATGCTACCAAGGCAGCCCTTTTCTAAACTAGAAAATTACAGGAATTCAATTTCTACAATAATGTTGGGAATGATAACAGAGGCAGGAGGTAATATTTACTAGTACTTACTATTTGCAAGGTACAGTTTTAAGTGCTTTATATGTAAACTATGTTATCAATCCTCTTATCAACGCTACAGGTGGGCAGTATTCCTTATAAGCAGGCAATAGATAAAGAACTTGGGCCTTAAAACATTTAAGTAACTTGCACATGGGACCTCAAGTAACTGAGCCACAATTTAAATGTAGATCGGACTCTGGGTTCTGAACTGCTAATGCCATGGTTCTTCTATATCATATCCTCTGCTTACAACGGCAAGACATAGCCATGACTTCTCTTCCTACAGATCTGATACCCTGGAAAATCCCTTAAACTAAAAATATTACTTTGGATATGTGTGAGCAGTACATTAAAAGAGAGGATCAAGCCTATGAGAACTGTTAAGTGCCTACTGTTGCCAAGAAAAGAACTGTAACAAAAAGGACAAATATTTTAAATACTTTTGTATGCTGCTACTATAATAATAACACTTACTGTGATAAACCAATAGGAATTCACTCTATAGACCAATTTTGATAAGAAGCCAAGTTGATTGACAGGCGCCAGCACATGAAGGTGCAAGTGGGAGATGGAACAGAATGGCGGCATGTGGAAACCCATTCTAAAACAGAAAGGTTAGAGATACTTGGCAAGTCAGTTCTACAAGAGTTTAAAGCTATTTTTTCATGTTAAAACACATAACGATTAACAGGTTACCTAGGGTAGACAGATTGCTACTCAGACATCACTTTTATTGCTTTCTTTATACACCTCTCAGGATTCACACACTTTCTCCTCTTTTCATGCTGAAGTTCACAGTAACAAACTCTTCATCAAGGAAGGGCTTAAAAGCGTATGTCTCAGTAAAACCTTTATGAATTCTGAGTTGGCATTATGTTTTATCACCTCAGTCCTTATCAGTTTTAACCTTTAATTCTCCTAAGATATGGCTCTGCAATGAATCTTTTAAAAAAAATTACAGGGGACTCCTGGGACCTTTAACTTTTAGACTGTACAGCTGAGGCATAAAGTTGTTTGTTGTGTACTATGTTTGGCATAAATTCCACCCTTTTCTTTAAAAAAAATTACATGACACTCAGGTAGAAGGGTTCCTTTATTCCAAGACATAGCCAGTAGATGGTGTGCCTTCTCCTTTAATAAAGCAGTCATTTCCTTACCAACCCATCTTCCCATAGTGAGATTATTTATATCATTATTAAAAAAAACTTTATCATCACTCGAATTTCTTGCTTAATAATGAAAATAAGTTAGATAATAATCATAATTATCTGCTTTATAAAACATTTATAAGACAATTCCTTTGACTACTAACAAATTTCTACTAAGAAATTTTTTAAATATGATTCTCTCTTAAAAATCAGTTTATAGTTTTGTAAGTCCACTTAGAAATTTTGAGTGGAGCAAGGCACACCTGTAACAATAATCCAAGCCTAAAGCCTAGAAATATTTGCCTCCTCAAACTAGAAGTGAGTCTCAATTAAAAAAAAAAAAAAAAAAAGACTACAATGAGAGGGAGTGTAGGGGGGTGTAGGAGAAGTGGTCTATTGCAGCAACATAGGACTGACAATGGAGAGTCAGAAACATGGCACATATTGAAAAGCTTCCACCACTGCCTAGAAAAAAGAGACTGAGGTTTCCTTCTGTGAAACAGGCCTGTAATCTAAAAGCTAGAAGCAACTCAAGGGTTCATTCAACCCTTTCATTTCAAAGATGGGAAAGCCAAGATCCAAAAAGTAGACTTCTCAAGGTCACAAAGTCAGGCAGTGACAGAGCGAGGATTGAGACTCTTGGTCCAACGTCCATTCTTCTAATAAGCACTCCTCTGACTGGGAAGGGAAATGTACTGCTTTTGGCCAAAGGGTCTCAAATACCATCTGTTCCTTATCACTATCACCCTTGAATAGCGCTTCACAGTTTTCAGAGGATTTTCACACACACAATCTTATTTGAACCGGTAAGTAGGCAGAGTAGGTATTATCTTGGAGAGGTTAAATGCCTCAAGTATCATAGCCAGTATGAGCCCAGTACTCAGCAAGTAGCATGGACAGCGTTAGAGCTCAGGTCTCTTTGAATTCCTGTTCAGATGTTAGAAGTAAAATCCGATCTACCTGTCTCGGCAAGCCTTTCGTCACACAAGGCAAAGTCAGAAGTCTTTTAAAAAGGAAAAAACACTATTTAGATTAAGCAAAAGAGTTGCCACATTGAACATTATATGCTTTTTTGCTCAAACTTTGGCAAATGCCAGAGATCAATTCAGCAGGCAATGAATTCAAGTTAATTTCCCACTAGAGGTATAATACTATATTTTTAAATCATAAAATCAAATAGTTTTTAAAGAAATTTAATTTACACATAATTTTTATAGAAATGGACATAATGAACAAAGAATGGTGGACTTGTAACTATTTTACCTACCCGCTGCTTAAATAGACTTGTCTGCCCAAACTCCAAGTGGTGATTATTAGATGCTGAGACATGAGAGGAAGACGTTTTATTTATTAAATTTATACTACCAATGAACAACGTATGCTCACTTTCAGGAAAACTGTATTTAAGCTACCTCTGCTTTCATTTCCCAGGAGGGAACGACATTTCAGAAAAACCAACTACGCATATTGGTTTCTATCTGGAAGTATACATACCTCGCATTTTTGAAGTCAGTGAAATTATTCCTTTCAAGAATGGTTTTTCCAACAGTTACCATGCTCTCAACTATAAAACAGGAAAGAAACTACATTACACTGTAGGAGACATTACTAAATTGTTAATTTTAACTTTTAGGATCCTAATCAAAAGTCGTATTCAACGGGTAAACATTTAAAGACCTGTTTAATAGTTCTAAGTTACTGAGAAGTTTGCTCATCAAAACTGAAATGAAGTATCAACCTATCAAAGTACAGTGTATAGGCTGACTTTGAACAGCGTTGAGGAGTACTATTAAGTGACTACATAGGACATCTGATCCTACTGAGGTCTAATTCTAATCATAAGGAGACCAAGTAAGAAACAAAAACATGTTTGAAATAAGAAGACATGCAAGAAAACTGAATTTGTCTTTCAACCCAAATTAAGGATATGATAGCCCTTCATGTCAGCCTACCTCTGACTAGCTAGATGGTCATATAATTGTTTTGGCTTCTGAACTCTATCTGCCTTAGTGTCTTTATAGTCGTGGTGCTTTATGGCCTTCGGATAGGAATACACCTCCCCATGAGAAAAAAATTTGGTAACCTGCAATCTCCAAAGCACACCACCAAAATTTAGACCTCTTTTGTTTCTGAATGGTGTAACCAAGCATTTGGAAGGGGGATGAAATGAGAGAATCTACAGAAGATGGTTGTTAAAAAAGAGGCTCATAAAATTGTTGTGAATGTTTACTTCACTAAGTCAGGCTTGAGCCAGGAGGACGACAGACTTTCATGACAAAGTCGGGACCATATTGTCTAAAAAAAAACCTCAAGTTACTTCATGCAAGACTGTATCTTGTTTTCTTTTAAAATACTCCCAAGATCCCAGACATGGAAGAAAACGTTTTCTCTTAATTTCTTTAAAAGACATATGACTGCTTAAAGCAATAATTTTAACAGTACCAAGATATTTCAATGTAGATATAATATATATGACAACAATAACACAAGGTGTTACAAAGTTTATCACATTTTTCATGAATCGATACAATATTAATTCTAATTAGGCTATGATAATTACACAATGAGTATTTTAGTCTTTCTAGAGCAACCATTTTTTTAAAAAAAATGTGAAGAGGAATACATAAAAAGGCAAGAAATAAATTAAAATAGAATAACAAAAAATATATCTGAACGACCACAAGAAGGCAGGAAAGAAACAGGGCAATAACAACAAAAAATGGGACAAACGGAAAACAAATGGCAAGAGAGTACACCTAAATCGAACTGCATCAATAGTTATATTAAAGGTTTATGAACTAAACACTCCAATTAAAAAATCAGAGATTTTCATACTATTTTTAAAAAATAATAATAAATAAGCAAGACGCAACTATATTGCTATCTTCAAGTCTTTAAATATTAATATTCAATTTGGTTGAAAGTATAGAAAAAGATACCCAATGTGGACAGTAAGTAACAAGAAAGTTAAAGTAGTTAAATTCATGTCATACAAAATAGGCTCAAGAAGTATTTCCAGAGATAAAGAGGGACATTTTACAATGATAAAAAAGGATCAATTCATTGAGAAGGTATGACAACCATAATTATGTATTCACTTAAAATCAGATTCAAAATACATGGAGCAAAACCTATTGTCTCCTTTCTATCTCACTGTTATCTATTCTATTATTTCTTTCCTTATACTTACTTTGGTCTGATTCACTTGCCTCTTTCTAGCAACCTAAAGTAGAAATTTAGTTCATTGGTTTTATTTTATTTTTTTTAAAGATTTTATTTATTTATTTGACAGAGAGAGAGAGAGAGCACAAGTAGGCAAAGAGGCAGGCAGAGGGAGAAGGAGAAGCAGGCTCCCCGCTGAGCAGGGAGCCCGACACGGGGCTCGATCCCAGGACCCTGGGATCATGACCTGAGCCGAAGGCAGCCGCTTAACCAACTGAGCCACCCAGGCGCCCCTTTAGTTCATTGGTTTTAAACATCCCCTTCCATTGTCATCAGAGAACAAAGGTTATAAGATTTCAATAATCTGAAATGTATTTAGACTTACTTTATTGCCCAGAATATGGTCTATCTTGGTGAACATGTGCTCTTAACAAAATGTGTACTTTATAGTTAGGTGGAGTTCTAAAAATATCAATTATAATCACAGTGCTTGATAGTGTTATTGAGCTCTTCCACATTCTATTTTCCCAACTTCATAGATTGTATATAAATATTAACTGCAAGAACATTTAAACTTTCATTACAGAAATATTAAGATATAAAGAAAATCAGAAAGAATAGTATAATAAAATCCCAAATACCCACCATGCTGCTTCAAAATTGGTTAACATTTTATTTGCAACAGTTATAAAAACTTTCAATAAAACAGAATGCTAGAAAAAGAAAACCAAGCATGAACATATTTCTCCCTCCTTAAAAAAACATTATAAAAAGGAAATACTTAAGGCATGGTGGCCACTGCTTGCTGGCCAATATTTAGCTAAATATTGCAAAATATTGCAAAAATATTGGCCTTTACCTGCTGGAATAAATATGAAATGTACTCATAGAAGTTCAGATGACTAAGGAATTTTGCAATATTGAGAAGAAACAGTTTAAAAACTGGTAATTCAATAGTCTAAATACTAACCAACTACACTTCAAAGTTTTCCATCAAAGATATTTCTTATTTACCTCCAAAAATCTGGCCCAATCTATCTATTTTGTCAGCTACTTAAATTATTAACCAAACTAATCCCAGACCCTGGAGACAAAGGCTATGAAAGCAGATACGAAGTGAACTTAGAAATGTCTTAGGAAATGGTAACTGGTAAGTCAGAGAAATCATGAGTAGGAAAATATAGGATAATCCTGTAAGAGACAAGATTCAGAAGCCAAAAGGTCATTGCTAAAATCCCATCACCAAACTTTGGTGTTAGTTCATCTACACAAGAAACTTACAGGGCAGGTACCAATATGGTCTCATTTTGTATAGCACCTTCCATTTTTGGAGTCAAGGAAAGCATCATTTAAAAAACAAAAAGAGGCATTATCTTTTAGAGATTTTAAAGATTAAATAACATGATGTCTGGAATTTGCTTTAAATCCACTGTGGGAGAAGGTTAATAGATGAAACAGATTGGCCACAAGTTAATAAATGTGGAGCTTGGGTGATGAACACATGGAGATTACACTATTTTCTTTATTTTTGTATATATTTGAAATTTTTCATGACAGAAGTTTCACAAATGCTCCTCTTTCATTAACACCTGGCTAGACTTTTTCTTTTTAATTGTCACTGCTATCACTGATGCCAATTCAGGATGACACAACCTGAGGAATACTGCTATCTTCATACCCAGTTCTATGTGATCCTTCTGTAGCTCTCTACAGTTTCCAAGATGCTTCTTTGGTACCACAAGATAATGATGAGGTGCTGCTGGTCTGATATCTTTGAAGCAAACTAGGTCTTCATTCTGAAGGAAAAAAACATATCATTTGTTAGAGAATCTTTTAAAAAGAATTTCCTAATGCTGTTCTGACATGTCTTAAACACCATAAATCTCAGTCTGATAGGGAAATGGTACTTATGTTACAACTAACCCCAGCTGGGCAATTTTGATTATGCATTAAGTTCATAAAGACAAGCTTTAGCATCCTTCATGAGATGCTCATTTGTTCCAGAAAATGAAGACTTATATAAAGCTAGTTTCAGGAAAACAATTATCAATGAAGTTCAATAAAACTTTATTACCAAAGGGGTGTCTGGGTGGTACAGTGGATTAAGTGTCCCACTCTTGGTTTTGGCTCAGATCATGATCTCAGAGTTGTGAGATAGAGCCCCATGTCCAGTTTCATGCTCAGTGAGGAGTCTGCTTGAGATCCTCTCTCCCTCTCCCTCTGCCCCCCCACTTGTGCTCGCTCTCTCTCAAATAAACAAATAAATCTTTAAAAAACAAAACAAAAAACTTCATTACCAACAATCCCAGGGTTTTTTTTTTAATTTCCTTATATATTTCTCTATCTCTACCTATATAAGGGCTTTTCACTCTTAATATGTACTTTTAAAGGTTTGACAACAGAAACATAGCAAGATTGATAAATTCTTTTTTACATTTAATTTTTTTCCAAAGTCGCATGTTATACAACTATAACAGGAAAATCATCTAGCATCTACATATCCAGACGTTACCTTTTTAAACATTTTTCACAGCAGTTATACACAAATAGTTTTTTGTTCTGTTTACAGCATTAAAAAGCCTTTGAAATGCTAAGACAAACTCCAGTATATTGCACTAAGTGTCCAATCCATTATATTAGTTTCCTGATTTACATACTCCACATACTTATGTAAGGAAAAAAGAAATGAAAAAGGGAGTCTTTCAACCTACTGACATTTGAGTTTCAACCTTTTCCAAAAGGAAAATCAATATTCCCTAAATATCCTTATTCAATACCTTGTATAAAAATTTTTTCACTGACTAAAAGACACATGAAAAGATGCTCAACACCACTCATCATCAGAGAAATGCAAATCAAAACCACAACGATATGAAACTTCACACCAGTCCAATGGCTAGTATTAAAAAGACAGGAAGTACGTGTTGGCATGAGTGTGGAGAAAAGGGAACCCTCTTGCACCGTTGGTGGGAATGCAAACTGGTGCAGCCACTATGGAAAACAGTATGGAGGTTCCTCAAAAATTAAAAACAGAAATACCATATGATCCCTCAGTTCCACCATTGTATATTTATTTACCCAAAGAAAATTAAAACACTAATTCCAAAAGATGTATGCACCCCTATGTTTATTACAGCATTATTTACAATAGCCAAGACGTGAAAGCAACCTGAGGATCCATCAACAGATGAATGAATAAAGGAGATATGATGTACATATATAAGGAAATATTACTCAGTCATAAAAATGATGAGCTCTTGCCATTTGTGACAACATGGATGCACCTAGAGGGTATTATTACTAAGAACAAACTGGTAGCTGCCAGAAGGAAGGTTGGGGAGGGGGGGCAAAGCAGGTGAAGGAAAACCTACGCATTTTAGTTAGCCGGTGCAATGAATGATTGAATTAGATTTCCATTAAGCTTTCTAAAATATTGAAATTGGCCCTCTGATGTTACTCTCTCTCCTATTGCTACTACTGAACTAGCCATTATTTAGACTCTTCATTTTAAGACAGGCTTTCTCCTTTTCTGAAGATACAATGACAGAAAATATGAAATGATGCATGTACAAAGCTATCCTTTGCAGCATGATTTGTAATAGCAAAAAAAAAAAAAAGAAAAAGAAAAAGAAAATAACCCAAGAGTCCATAATTCAACTAGGAGACTGGTTGAATAAATTATAGCAAATCCATACAATGAAGTAATATGTAGCTACAAAAAGGAATGAAGAAGATCTTTATATACTTATAAAATCATTTCTGAAATATACTTCGAAGTTAAAAAAAAAACACAAGGAGCAGGAGAGTGGTAAGGCCATCTTTTGTGTAAGAAAGGGGAGTACAAATACAAACATACACATACATATTCTCACAATGGAAGGCTAAACCAAATATATATTTTTTAGTTTCTTGTGAGGGAAGAGGAACAGGGTAAAGATGACAAGAGAATGGAAGCTAGACTTTTCCGAATGTACTTAGCTTTATAATTTTGACTTTAAAAAAACATGAATATTTAACACCCTTTTGGACTTAAAAACAATCCCTAAAAATTGAAAACAAACAGAAACAAATAAATCTAACTATATGTCACCTTGATAACATAACCACACAAAGAAATTTCTTTAAAAGAAAAAAGATTTTATTCATTTATTTGAGAGAGACAGAGAGAACTAGAGCGCACGAGAGACAGCACACTAGTGGGAGAGTGGTGCAGAGGGAGAGGCAGAAGCAGATTCCCCGCTGAGCAGGAAGCCCAAGTAGGGAGGATCTCAGGACCCAGGGACCATGACCTGAGCTGAAGCAGACGCTTAACCAACTGAGCCACTCAGGCGCCCCCAAAGAAAAGATATTTCAAGTGACTCTTAAACACAGAATTTTGACTATCCATCCCTAATGACAACCACTAAACGAGAACTTTTCATTTATGCTTTCAACGCAGATCACAAGCAAGTTTCTCAAGTGTGGGACATGCCATATTTATCCTTGAACTACAAGTGAATAACACATAAACTTGAAAGATTGTTTAATAAATAAAAGATGCTTAAATAGAAAGATAAAGCTACCAATGCTTCCCTCCTCTACTCCTTAAAAAAAAATGATGTCATTATAGTTTTTACATACTTTTCCAGTAACAGAGATAGACTTTCCAAGATCTTTCATTCTGTCCTTGCAAAACACCTTCTTAAAGTTGGAATTACGGCCATTGTTTGATTTTAACAGTGTTTCTCAGCCCTTTTTCATTACCATCCCCCTAAAGCAACTTTTTAGATTTTTTTTTCCTAATTGCCCCCCTCCCCTGATATTTTAATACCACAGCCAAATTATACATGTGTTTATATCCTAAGTGCTATATGTGTATTTTATATATATAAACTTTTTTTGCCCCTGCCCCTGTCCCAGGCAAGAGCATCAGTTTTTACCCCTTTTGAGAATGCATGGATCTGACAAACAGCTAGTCCATCTTAACTTCATTATCACCACTGAATCCAAGCATCTGGGCTTAGCATCCATTAAATACGACAAATAAACTGTGGTGAACAGAGTAGATGGGCACTCAACCTCCATTCCAAATACTTCTGTGTCTTTTGTACCACAGAAATTTAAAAAACCAAAACCCCAGATGGAATTCAGATCTTGCCAACTAGATGTATTTCGAACTTAAGTGCTTTGACAAGCTAACCTGAGCAAAAGCCATCTTTCTGCAGCTTCCGCTAGTTCCAGCAGGCAAACATGGTCAGCTCTAAGACTACCGAGATTCTTTTTCCTTTCCTCCCTACCCCCATTCCATTGTCTAGTCAATAGCACCATGCGAGTCAAGAGACACACATGAGACATCCATTTTTTTGGCACCATGGCCTACCTGCACGGACCCAGCAGGTATAGTGTGTAGCCCTGAAGCTGTGTTATTGGTCAAAGGCGAGTAGAAATAGGTAGGTGCTATGAGCATTTAGCACCTAGAGGTCAGAAATGGGAAACATCCTACAACAGGTGGAACAGCTCTGCACAACAAAGCAGAATCCAACCCCAAACGCCAACAGTACACCCGCTGCAAACACTGCTCAACAGTGGCGATCACACTGCTTCATCATCTGAGTCACAGCTACAGAGACATCTTCCTGAAGTCTAAGTTCCAGTGGCAGTCACCTAACTCCTACCTTCCTGGCTGTGGCAGAGGAAACAAGTCGTCAGTATGCAAGTGCTGTTCTGGATGTCATTTTTTTTTTAAGATTTTTATTTATTTATTTGACAGAGAGAGAGTGAGCACAAGCAGGCGGAGCGGCAGGCAGAGGGAGAGGGAGACAGAGGGAGAAAGAGAAACCAACTCCCCGCTGAGCAGGGAGCCCGATGCAGGACTCGATCCCAGGACCCCGGGATCATGACCTGAACCGAAGGCAGACACTTAACGACTGAGCCACCCAGGAGCCCCCTGGATGTCATTCTTGAAGGCTTTTCCTTCAGCCCTTGCAACTTTTTAGCAAATAATTCCCTATATTAAATCAATTCCTGCTTTAAATAGTGAGTTTTTCTTTCTGCAACTAACCCCTGACTGATAGTTAAAGCAAAGAAAAATAAGTAACATTTGAAAGAACATTTCAGTACCACACCATCTGAAGTGTAGGGCAAATTTGGTTAAAGAAGAGGAAAGACATTAAAGTTAAGCTAGTATTTCCTCAGTGTGGCCTCAAGCAAGGTGAAAATAGCCTGGTATTTCTCAACCATGTTTTCACTGTCACCCCTCTGAGGACATTCTTAAGACTTTTTTCCTGATTCCACTCTCATGATATTTTAATACCACAGATATACTCCTTATCTGTTTATGTCCACTATGTTTACCTTTGCCTCACACAAAAAGAGTAAGATACTGTCACCCCAAAACCAACTTTTATTCCCCTCTGAAAACGCATGGCCTAGTATTTGCTTAGTTTCAACTCTGCAGTATACAACAAAAATACTATATGGATGCTTATGGAGTGAGGAATCTTCTCTAGCTTCTGCCAGAAAGATTTCCCAGACATAACCCACATGATACTGATAACTCCAATTATTCCAAATCAAATTTTCTCCTCTGGACTTAATTATAAGTCTACCCTACTTTATATAAACCCAATAGTTTCTAAATATTTACAATAAACATATATGAATGACTATAAGAATACACTATATATATAATGCAAAATACACAAATTAAAGATTAGTTTCTCTTTTTAAAAAGATAAATCTTTAACCTTTAATTAGTGAGCTCTTATATATGAAATCATCTTAGATTCAATTTTAAAAAGATCTGCAACTTGGGGTGCCTGGGTGGCTCAGTCGTTAAGCCTCTGCCTTTGGCTCAGGTCATGATTCTGGGGTCCTGGGATCGAGCCCCACATCGGGCTCCCTGCTCTACAGGAAGCCTGCTTCTCCCTCTCCCACTCCCCCTGCTTGTGTTCCCTCTCTTGCTATGTCTCTCTCTGTTAAATAAATAAATAAAATCTTTAAAAAAAATCTGCGACTTTTTGAGGCACCGTTGTACAAACATGTGCATCTTGCTTATGTTCTGTATCATATGGACTACTGTATAATTCATCCTGTGCCACCTATGTAGGATATAAATTAGTTAAAATATTGATTGTGTCTAATTTCCTCTATAAAAATGTTCCAGGCTTTTCACATAGTTCACTCTGAGAATGTTCTTCAAAGAGAAAAAATCCTGACCTTTGGCCTGGAAAAAACTGGGATAGAAGTTTGGAACATTCCACCCCCTCTCAGTGACTATTTTTATTTTTTTAATTATTTTTTTCCCTAAGATTTTATTTATTTGAGAGAGAGAGGGAGAGAGAGACAAAGAAAGATCACGAGCAGGGGGTAAGGGCAGAGGGAGAAGGAGACTCCCAGCTGAGCAACAAGCCCAATGCGGGACTCAACCCCAGAACCCTGGGATCATGACCTGAGCTGAAAGCAGATACTTAACCGACTGAGCCACCCGGGTGCCCCCCTCCGTGACTATTTTTAGACAAAACTTTTTACACTACTAGTACCTATTATTTACTAGTTTTCCTCAACATTGGTACTGGAGTATGCAAAATTTAAAAGCAGTTTCTAGACATCTAAGAAATACTGAATTCTGTGAAGCTAAAAAATTCACTTTACTTCTTGCTAGCCTAATTTTATATGCGGTGAAATCCTGACTCTATGGATCAGTTCAGCAGAGGCCTACTCCACAGACAAGTGATGTACTGCCCCTCTCCCTGTAGCTGCTTAGCTGCTTCCGGTTTTCACTCCTTCCCCTATTCAGCATAGATGTCAAAGTCTATCACTTCAGTCCTCTCTCTAGCCATAAATTCTTACCTTTGTTTCCACTGCACCTCCAAAACACCCACAGGGCCAGACCCCAACCGTGCAATGACCCAACTGTTCACCTTGTCTAAAACTAGACTCTGGCTGCTGCTGGAGGGGTAAAAAAATCACACAGATGAACAAAATACTGCAGGTGGTAGAACCACCTCACCAAGCACAGGGCACTGTAACCCGCTGCCTCCTCTGTATTCCGTCCACCCTTTAGATTATAAGATCTGAACAGTGACTATCCTTTATCTTATTCACCAATGAATCTCCAACACTAGGTGCTCAGAACAGATTCAATTCACTTTTAACAAATGAATTAATGATCACTAAACAAACAAACACCCAGAATCTTTGGAGCTGATCCTCTCCAAAGGCTGTTTCTTTAAAGGCAAGTAGAACCAGTAGAAGAAAATGTGTACCAGGTATGTTTTCAAGTACCTGAGCAAAATCTTAGTGCTCTGAAAATGTGCATACATCCCAGCTGACAACACCTGTACGAACTTTACCCTTCAGTGGAAATCTGAGGCTATTAAGAAATAGTTTGATCTCGGCTCCACACACCGCCCCCCCCCCCGGCAGCCTAACTTCAGTCAGTTTAACGAAGCTTTTCCCAATTACCATTATCTCCTTTCTACCAGTTTTCTCCTCAGTAGCAGTATTAGAGTGTGTAAAATTTAAAATCGTGTCCAGAAAGGCAGGGGGTGGGGATACGGGGGTGGGGAGAGGAATCAAATGCTATTTTCTGCCAAATACCTCGTACTTACAGACAGAAGCCAAAGTGTCTGGCTTTATCGCTACATTGTCCCCCTCGGCACAGCAAGAAGACGCTGGAGACAGACCCGACTCCAAGAGAAGCAAGTCCGTCATTAACACCAGGACACCCAGCCTCGCCCACCCCGGTCCACACCTGCGAGGCCTCCCTCCCGGGGGCCTGACACGACCCCACCGCGGTCTGCCACCGCGAGGTCTCGGTCCCTGGGCTCCCCAACCCACGCCGGGTCCGCATACAGCCCACCTCGCAGTACAGGAGCTCGGTGCCGGGTTCCTGCTGCCCTGCGATCCGGCAGAACACGCACTTGCTACTGTAGTCCTCCGCCTTCGATGACCGTGAGACAACATCGGTAGTCTTCGACGAAGACACCTTAGATTCTGTAGACTCCACTGCCTCAAAACCAGGCTCGGACTCCACGCTACCGCGCTTCGACTCCTCCGCCATCGTACTGCCCCGAGGTGGCCAAGAACCTTGACTGCTCCTGCACCGCGGACCCTGGTCCGCCTCCTGCAGCTGCTTAGTTTTACCTGAAGGCGTCGCCCTTCCCCTGCCGCTGGGAAGGGCTGGGAGTTGGGCGCACGCGCTGATCCAAGCTGTGACTGCGACGCAGTGATCGCTCACACAGCCAGTGACCGTGAGGGGGAGCGCGAGGACGCGCAAGGATGCGACCGAGAGGAGCCGGCTGGGGCTTACGGAAGTCGCTCCGCCCCCTGCATCTCGTTGGTAAAGACGCACCACGTCCTTCGAGACACAGGAGCGCGCACCGCCGCGGTGACATCACTGTTGCGCCCTAACGTCCGGTCAAATGGAACCTGGTGGGTATACTGGAGGTCTTTTCCGAAAGCTGCAAGTTAGCATCCCCCAAGAGTATTATTATGTTGTTAAAAAAAAAAGTTTTTAAAAATTCGTAGGTTTTAAGAGAATGAGCACAATTTCTGGAGCATTCGTTTCAGCATAGAATCTGTGCTCATAGAATTGTGCTCATTCGTTGGTCGTGCTTCATGCCTCAACCACTACAGTAACCTAACTAGTTCCCCTCCTTGATTCTCTTGTCACTCAAAAACCCTTCAGTAACTATCGCACCCAAAAGAAAAAGTCTCAGTTAACTTGGTAGTCAAGATGGACTCTGATTTGATCTCAGCTTTTTATTTTATAATACTTGGCATTTGCTGAACACCTAAAAATGTGACATGTATTTTCTCTCAACCAAACGAGGTTGGTTTTATAATCCTCATTACAGAGATAAAGAAACAAACTAAGATAAAGGTTTGTCTAACTCCAGAACCCACCAGCCTTTTTGAACACAACTTTTTTAACACTAAAAAATTTCTTAAACTAGCTCATTATAGTATCCTTGTTATTTGTTAACTTGGAAAATACATAATAACAAAGTCCTATTGTGAATTCAGTCCTGTTTTTGAAAGATTTATATTGTATTAATTGAAAACATATTTTAAAGTAGTTGTACATACGTGTTCAAGACATTTTTCATTCATTTTGCAGTTTGCCAGTGGTTTGGGGGACCACTATAATAGCTTCATATCCCATCGGGAATCCAAGGCAGAGTTCAGAATGAGTACGTTACTTTGCCTTACTAAGTATCCAGTATTTCCATGCACTGTAATATACCACATCACTTTCTTTTTTTTAAATCCACATTGTTTCTTCTGAAATATCTTTGTTTCCATCTCTGCACATCCAAATCCACCTTCCAAACCACTCCTCAAATGCTCCCTCCTTCATGACATTTTTTTAAAATTAACCAAACTGAAATAAGTACTTCCTTGTGAATTCACAGAGCAGTTTTTCAATACTTCTCTTGTAGAACTTATCACTCTGTATTATATACTATTTATGTATGTATTTTTCTTACTAGATATTATGTTCCTTGATAAAAAGAATGGGTGTCTTTGAATCTACTGTAGTGCCTCTTACAGCGCTTTGCATGTAGTTTTTCACTTAACAATTGTCTAATGAATAAAAGAATCGTTAGCAATAAGGTTGCTGCATAGTACTGTTCAGATTGCACACTGTAAAAGAAGACCATAAATAAGAATATGCTAATTTACATTGTAGATAAATATTAACTTACATAAAATCACAGGCAGACCTAAAGTTCTGGAGCAGTGAAGAGCTAACTCCTACAAAAACCCACACACACATGTGACTACACACACTCCGGAGACCATCCACCTACATATTGGCACACATCTGCACAAGTTGTACCTGTCCTGACTACATTCCTAGAGACACCTGTGATTGGTCTCTCACTTGCCTGGCACTTTCAAAGACTTGCTTCCCATCTCCAACTTTGAACTTGATATCGTTGTCTATCATGGAAGTGGGAGAAGCAACACATACTATTTAAAACTTGTCTGAAGTAGTGGTGTGGGATCAAGCAAAAGCCTGGGCAGTTGTGTGCACACTGGCAGAGCTGCTACCAGTTGGTGCCTTGGTTAGCTCCTCAAGGAAACTATCATTTGGGTTTTGTGACAAAAACAACATTTTACTTGCGAAATGGAATGTTTTCTGATTTCACAAGGGCACCATATGGGCTAGTAGCAGCCCTGCTTCAAGCATGCTCTGGAGTCAGACAACTCTACAGTTTACCATCTGTGAAGATTTGGGCTAAGTTATTTATCTTTCTGTGTCAAGGCTTTCTGTTTCTTCATCTATAAAATGAGGATAATAACAATGCTTTTAATGCAGATATTATTTTGAGAACGGAAGCCTGGCAGCCTGGCACAAAACTCAATAAATGTTAACAGTTATTACCAATAGGTAGTGATGGTATGGAAAACAATTTAAGGGATCCGATGGTTTACTTGAATTTAAATTCAGAAGCTTCAGTGCTCCGATCTAACACAGAGACTGAGTGAGGATTTGTAAAGTCATTTCCTCTCCTCCCTTTTCCCCTCCCTTCCCCACTTGTCTCTCCCCCTGACATACAAAAAGCTGTACATATTTGATAAGATTCTTCTCTTTAGCTACACTCACTCCCTTGGTAATCTCACATGGTCTGTGGCTTTGAGCACGTATATGCCAATGACTCCCAAATTTAAATCTCTAGTATAGACCGCTTCCCTGAACTCCAGACTGCCAATTCAACCACCCCACACACATTATAAACATGTCTGAAACTAGGCAATGGGGAGAGCTTTTTCCCCTCCCCAAACCTGCTACCATCTTACTTGAGGGAAAACTCTGTTCTGCCATCTACTGAGGATGGACATTTTGAGATCACATTTGAGCTTCCCCTTAACTCTTAATATCCAATCCATCAGGAAATTTAAAGTACATCCAGAATCTGATGTCATCATCACTGTCAACCTTGACTGAGCTACCATCACCTCTCATGTGAATTATTCAGTAACCTAACTGGTCTTCCTACTTCAGCCTTCTTCCCACTCCCTTTACTGTGTAGTCTTAACGCAGCAGTCAGAGTGATCCTTTAAAAATGTAAATCAGATCATATCTCTCCTCTGTTCAACATCCTCCAGTGGTTCTGTATCTCACTGAGAGTAAAAGCCAAAGGACCTAGCTATGAGAACCCTTAAGTCTCGACATTATATGCCATTTGCCCACCTCCTTACATTCTGACATCAGCTACAACCATTTCCATTGCTTACTCTGCTCCAGCCACACCGGATTCCTTGTTACTTATGCCAGCCAGGCTTGCGCCCCCATCTGGGCCTCTACACTGGTTGTCCCTCTGCCTAGAACACACTTTCTATTACTGGCCATGCAGATTTCTCCTCTCAACTCCTTCAGGTCTTTGCTCAAATGTTTCTTCCTCAGTGGAGTCAATTCTGACCACCTTGGCAAACTCCCCCCTCATTCTTTTTTTTTTTTTTTAACAATATGTTATCTTTATTTTTTATATGTCAGGATCATATACCTAGAGAACCCAAGAGAATTGACAAAAATATTATTATATACAACAAAGTAGCTGAATTTAACTCCCCCCTCATTCTCACCCCTAGATTTCCCTTTCACTTTCCCTTGTTCTGTTATTTCCATCATAGCCATTACCTTCTAGATACTTATGCTTAAATATTTAATACTATATGGTAATATTATTATATATAAGTGTTTAAATATTACATCATTAACTTACTGATTCTTTATTATTGTCTGTTTCATCCTCATTGAATGTAATCTGAACAGGAATTTTTATCATTTTTGTCTTTCTAGTTCATCGAAGTATCCCCAGAGTCTACATGTGGAATATGAGATACCAAGTGTAATCAAGGACAACTCAGAGGTTCTTAGTCCAAAAACTGGGAAGTTGAAGCCCATGATTACTAAAATGGAGAACCCTGGAAGAACAGGTTTGGGGGCGGGGAAGACCAGGCTTTCAGTTCTGGGTATACTAATTTGAAATGCTAGCTCAGTCTCTTTAGAGTTACCACTTAAATGTCTGTTTGGTCTGTTCATAAAAGTCTGTTTCAGCAAGCAACTCCAAAAATCTTAACGCCTTAGAACAAAAAGGTTTATTTCTTACTCACATGTGTGTTTGTCTGTTGCACGTTGGCCCTGGCTGTGCGGACCTCATCCTGTAACCCAAGCTGAGGGAGCAGGGATGGTTCTGGTGTCAGAACAGAGGGAAGACAGAGCCCAGTGGAGCCACATGATGGCCCTGAGGCCTTCTCAGGACTAGCAGAAGTCACTTCTACTCCTATGTCATTGACCACAGCAAGTCACGTGGCCAACTCTGACATCAGCAGACCAGGGTTAAATATAATCTGGGACTGGAGAAGGCAAAAACTTTTGAACACTAATACAGTGCACTGCAGATGCCTATTTGACATTTAAGTGGCAATGTCATTAGGTGATTAGATGTATGAGCCTAAAGTTCAGTAGAGAAATCCAGGCTATGTGTATGAATTTTAGAATCTTTAGCATGTAGTATTTACATTCTTGAAGTTAGAAGACATCCAAAGGAGTAAGTATAAGCAGAGAAGAGAAAAGTTCAAAGGATTGAGCTAGGGGAACTCTGGCATTTAGAAATCAGAAACATGAGAAAAGGCCAAACATGACTGAGAGAAAGTGGCCCAGGAGAAGGTGATGTGCTGGAGGTAAAGCAAAGATGGTCTCGGGTTGGAGGGGGCGATGAGCTCTGTCAGGACCTGCTGATGGGATACAAAGAGGACCGGGAACTGAGTGGAGCTTTTTGGTAAAGCTGAGAGAAGCAGTTTTTACTGCTGGGGTTGGGGAAGAATCCTCATTCTAGTGGGTTTAAGAGAGAAGGGTAGTAAATGAAATAAAGGGAGCAAGTATGAACAGACCAAACAGATTATTCACAGGAAGAAGAAAGTACCAAAAGAATGCCAGAGACTACAGCTACACTGGTAAGGATCAGAGAGGCAGAGATGCTGGAATAGCAGAGTGGCTATTGCCAGCTCAAAGTAAGTGCGCATCATTTAAGGTCATCTACTCAGGTGTCTCCATTCCTTGCAATCTGAGGGAGCTACACTAACTCACCATCCTTTCTCCACCAATTAACTCTACCTTTATCACATTTTTTAAGAGAGGGAGGGGGGCTTAGGGAGAGGGGGAGAGAGAATCTTAAGCAGGCTCCACAGCCAGCCTGGGGCCCAACTCGGCGTTCGATGTCACAACCCTGAAATCATGACCTGAGCAAAATCCAGAGTTGGACGCTTAACCAACTGAGCCACCTAGGCACCCCCACCTGTATCACATTTTAAATTATCTTTCCTGGGCGCCTGGGTGGCTCAGTTGGTTAAGCTACTGCCTTCGGCTCAGGTCATGATCCTGGAGTCCCGGGATCAAGTCCCGCATCGGGCTCCCTGCTCAGCAGGGAGTCTGCTTCTCCCTCTGACCCTCTTCCCTCTCGTGCTCTCTCTCTCTCATTCTCGCTCTCTCAAATAAATAAATAAAATCGTAAATAAATAAATAAATTATCTTTCCTTATACATCTTTTCCAAACTCCTAGTGTTTGATGGAGTGCCCCAGGGCTTACTCTTTGCTCTTTTTCTCAATCTATATTCACTTCCTTGATCTTATCCAGTCTCAAAGCTTAAAATATCTATATGCCATGACTCCCACATTTCTAACTGTATTCATACTTTTCTCCAAGTCAAAATCCAAGTGCCTACTTGATATTTCCACTCAGGTGTTTAGTAGATTGAACTGCTGATCTCCCCATTACAAACCTCTTATTCACAGACTTCTGACCTTGGCTGATGGCGTTCTAATCCTTCCAGCTCTAGATTCTGTGACTCCTCTGCTCAAAATCTCCATTCCCATCAGGAGAATGATTAAGAAACTTGCTCCGTGTCATCCCATAGTCAATGACCGCTGAGACTCCCCCCAGGCAGCCTGTTGGGAAACTGTGCTCCTCACTACGGTCCTTTGACACACGCATCTGTTCAGTAGCTTACACGATGTCATGTCTAGTGTGAGTCCATGTTTGTTATGTATCCATAGGGATTTGTAAGAAGATGGTGAAAAGATATATACCAGTATATTTGCACTGTGATCTCTGGGTGGATAAATGACGGCTTGATGTTTTTCCTTAATTTTGCTTATGTATATTTTACATCTTCAACAATGAAATTATATTACTTTTGTCATAAGGAAAACATCCTCACAGATTTTTTTAAAATTCAGGATTCTGGATGAACTTCATTTCCTTTAATCATTCTTTGTTTCACAACATCTCATTCCATAAACTTTTGAGTTGTTCAACCCTGATGTCAGAAGATACAGGACATTTTCAGGCAAATTTCACTGTATTTCTGGCGAGATGGGCTATAGAACTGCTACGCCTATGTGTCTGACACAGTGTAGTGTTTCTTTTCATTTTTCAGTGAGATATGGAAATTGTGTTGGGGGATTTATCTCAATATCATAAAGTATCATCTCCACAGTAGACACCCTTTTCCACATCCTAAATAAAAATTTCCTAAACATAAATACAAAGACCTTCCATGACTTCTATTTTGTAAATGGAAATAACTTTTTGCTATTTCACCAGTGTCTCAAGAACGTTAGATTTTTCTGAAGGTAAAAGAAAGATAAGCATGAACACATTTCTCCTTTCTTAAGAAAAACAGTATAAAAGGAAATACAGGCTAAAACGGCTATTGCCTGGTACTAAATATTGCATGTATATTGGCCTCCATCTGTTAGAATGAGTGAAATGTCTAGGCAAAGGAAGGGGAGGGAGCAGTGCTTGTATGTGGGAAAGGAGAGAAATTTCCAGTTTCTGATTATTAAGCTGTCTTACTTAGAACACTCTTTGAATAAATATTGGCAAGTGGCCCGGAGTCCCAACTTGTAGCTGTTTGTGTTTTGCTAAAAGACTTTAAGGAAAGTCTTGAACTGTTGTTCTGAAGTGGAAACTGCGTAAACCATTTGTAATGGAAAGAATGACAAAAGAAAAAAAATCCCTTCTTATAATGACTTTTGATTCCAGCTATTTCCCTGATAAATTATTTTATTTGTGTACAGAATGTAATGCAGACATTTCTGCTTTTTTTCCCCCCATAATGCTTTCCTGAAAGCCATGTCTTCAAATTGTTGAAAGTAATTCTTACTCTTTATCAGGAACAAGTTTACACTTGGACTTTGTATTTTTGATAAAGAATTCAGTATAAACCAAGTTTGATATAACTAACATCATAATAGTACTAACTTACCTTTGTCTGGCATTTTCTTTCTTTCTTTTTTTTAGATTTTATTTATTTGAAAGAGAGAGAGCATAGCGAGAGAGAGCATGAGCATGGGTGGGGAGGAGCAGAGGGAGAAGCAGAAGCAGGCTCCCTGCTCAGATGTAGGGCTCCATCCCAGGATCCAGGGAGCATGACCTGAGCTGAAGGCAGACGCCTAACCGACTGAGCCACCCAGGTGCTCCCGTCTGGCATTTTCTAAGGCACTTTCTTAAATGTACATTAATTTGATTCTCCGACAACTCAGAGTGGTAGCTATTATTGTCCCTATTTTAGAAATGGATAACATGGGACACAGGAAGATGAATCAACCTACTCAGGATCATTTAATTGGTGGTTGATAGAGGGGGGCATCCTGCAGCCCTTTTAGTAGCAGTAGAGAGGTACATTCTGTCCCCCAAAATCGACAGAAGACAAATACTGTGTAAATCAGCACACACACACCCCCATTTTGAAGTTAATTTTCAGTCAAATTCATACCTGCATTTCTTTATAACTTTGGGGTCAAAAAATCTCATCTATACCATTCACTCTGGTTCTTATTAGTTACCCTCAGACTCTTTATTCATACATAAATTGCTATGCTTCTTTTCCCCCAGCTTCTTTCCACTGCCAACCTCTTTGAAATTTTCCACTGTAAAAGCCACAATTTCACTGTAAGTATTCTATATCCTCAGTGTCCTCGGAGAACCATACCTTCACTTTCTTGCCTTAAATGAAACCTGGCATTCCCCCAAAGACATCGCTTCCCTTGAGCCTTAACAAACAAAAACTGCTTTTTCGGGCGCCTGGGTGGCTCAGTTGGTTAAGCGACTGCCTTCGGCTCAGGTCATGATCCTGGAGTCCCAGGATCGAGTCCCGCATCGGGCTCCCTGCTCAGCAGGGAGTCTGCTTCTCCCTCTGACCCTCTTCCCTCTCATGCTTTTTATCTCTCATTCTCTCTCTCTCTGAAATAAATAAAATCTTTAAAAAAAAAACAAACTGCTTTTTCTCCCTGCCTTTCAACATGCTGAGAGAGATTTGAAAGGGGTATTGGTATTCTCCTAGCTTCTAACTGCCAGTCCCGGGTGATTCCATTCCTACCTGTATGTAACTCCCCACCCTCTGCCCCCTTTTGAGTCTCATGCTGTAACATGAAGCGTAGTCATCATCATCCACCAGCTCTAGGTCGCTTGCCCAGATTCATGGAAAGCTTCAGCACCTGGCCCACAAATGCTGCCAAACTCCCAATCCTAAGTTTGCATTTACCCAGATGCTCTCAAAACCTAGTGACTTTAGGTGACTCTAGTGACTCTTCACACCTCTACAAGCACTGTCCCAGCAGGACAGTGCTCCTGACTTCTTAGTAATTTCTGTTCTTGATCTTTCTTCAATTCTTTCAGTTGCCTCCCATCTTCAACTTTTATTCCTGCCCAGGATAGATCCCAAAGGCCCATCAGTACCCTGAATAGCTTCTGGGCACCCACCGTGCCCTCCCTCCATCTTTGCTATATTCCCAGCCAACTCCTGTGGTTATCTGAGTGGTTAAAGGCATGGGCTAGGGAGGCCTGTTTCTACCATTTGAAGCCTATTTCTGTCATTTAGTAATTCCACCTTGGACAAGTCATGAATTTTTCAAGGCTTCCATTTCCTCAATTGAGAAATAGTGATAATAGTATCTGTCTCCTGACCATTATCAATTATTATGAAGATTAATTGAGATAATATGTGTAAAGTGCTTAGAATAGTACCTGGCTCATAAGCACTCGATAAATGTTTACTATTGTTACAATCAAATTGCTTGCTGATGTTTCAAAAAAAAAAAAAATCACAGTGGCACCTGGGTGGCTCAGTCGGTTAAGTGTCTGCCTTCGGCTCAGGTCATGATTTCAGGGTCCTGGGATCGAGCCTGCTTCTCCCTCTCCTTCTGTCTGCTGCTCCCCCTGTTTGTGCTCCCTCTCTCTCTCTGTCAAATAAATAAATAAAATCTTTTTTAAAAATCACAAAACCAAATTAATAAGTGCCAGTACATGCCCATATCTGCAAAGCAAAACACAATCCAACAAACATCCTCCTTTTTCACTCCCTTCGCTAGTTATTGCCTGTTTAAGGGAGACTTTTGAGTAAATACCCTTGTATGGCCTGGGAACCTCAGATTTCATCATATTAATTATTTGTCCTCCTCTTCAGAAGTAGATAGGATTAGCAGGCTGACTAATGTCTATTATTTGTAAGGCAGGAATGGCAACGATCTCATGTGACCACTTAGCAGAAGACAGACTAGAAGAAACAGGCATAAATAGACATCTCAGAAGAGAGAAAACATGAATGAGCAAGAAACTATTAAAAGATGCTCATCCTCCTTAGTAGTCAGGGAAATGCAAATTAGAACTACAATGAAATAACTTTTTTTTTTTTAAAGATTTTATTTATTTGACAGCACAGATAGGCAGAGTGGCAGGCAGAGGGAGAAGCAGGCTCTCCGCTGAGCAGAAAGCCCTATGCGGGGCTTGATCCCAGAACCCTGGGATCATGACCTGAGCTGAAGACAGACACTTCACCGACCGAGCCACTCAGGTGCCCCACAATGAAATAACTTTGCACACCTTTGAAAATGGCAAAAATGAAGAAATTTAACAATATCAGATGTCGGACAAGGTATTCTTAGGATGGGCATATAAATGGTACAGTTGCTTTGTGAAACATTGTAGGGTATCTTGTCAAGCCAAATATTCACATACTGGAGGGTCCAGCAGTTCCATCCAGTGAGACTCTTTCACATTTTGTTGACAAAACAAAAAGCACAAAGCTGCGAGTAACCCTAACCATTGACAGGAGAATGGATAAGTAGTGGTATAGTGGTATAGTCACCAGAGGAATTTTTTTTTTAAGATTGATTTATTTGAGGGAGAGAGAGAGAGAGCAGAGTGTGCACACACAGGAGAGCAGAGGGAAGGGCAGAGGGAAAGAGAGAGAATTTCAAGCAGACTCCCCACTAAGTGTGGAGCCCGAGGCAGGGCTCGATCTCACAACCCTGAGATCATGACCTGAGCCTAAATCAAGAATCCGGATGCTTAACTGACTGAGCCACCCAGGCACCCCTCACCAGAAGAATATTAAACACACACATAATAAAATACGGCTGCAGTAAGCAACATGAATGAATCTTAGAAACAATATTGAAGGATAAACAAAAAACAAGTAAATGTACATATTATAATGACACTTTACATATATTAATCTATTTCATTCTCCTAACGTCTCTTTGAGGAAGGTACTATTACTCTCATTTTACAGATGAAACAGTTACAGATAAATGACTTACTAGTAAGTGAAGGTTGCAGGATCTAGCTAACATTTACTACATGCTTACATAGCATCGGGCACCGTATTACCTTGCCTAGATTATCTATTTTATGAAAGATGCTCTTATAAAACGTCCTTCTTGTTTTTTGTGGGGTTTTTTTTTGCGGGGGGGGGATGTTGCCTGATAAGTCTCCCTAAGTCAACATAATAAGTTAGACTGGAGAATCCAGTTTATCATTTGGCTTTGCACTCTTCTCTCAACCCCTTCACCTAAGTGCAAACTCAGTGGATAGTTGACTCTTCATTTAAATGGTCTTCTGAACCTTTTCTAGGTTTCACTTTTGGAAATGGAATGTAACTCCCAGCCAATGTCCTAAACCCCTGAGGCCCTGGAACTTCCCTTCAGTCTACATTTTTCAGAACACCAATAACTAAGAGATCTAAAAATGAAGGAATTCTTTTCCCAAGGGCAACTACACATACCAGCACCACCACCATATCCCTGAAATCTCTTCCCCAGTCTTCTTTCACTTATATCCGTAAGACCTAAGGGAAGAACTTGAGCAGCTAGAGGAAGGATCATTCCTTTCTGCACCACAACCTTAAGAATCATGCTTGCAAGTTTGTGACTGAACATTGTATTGGGGGGGGTGGGGAAGAGAGCCAGGAATCCCAAACCTGTGTTTTAGTCCCAGCTCTGCCGCTCAGTTGTTGGATGTTGGGCAAATCCATTAATGTCTCTGGGGTTCATATCCTTCAGTAATGCACGTCAGTTAAACTTGACATTTATTGGATGTCTCTTAGGTGCCATGCACCCTGCCAAACATTGGGGTTATAAGGATAGACAAGACCTGATTAGCCACAGAGAGCTCCCAGCCATTAAGGAGCTTTCTGTCTAGAGTAGAGAACTGTGGATCTTGGTGCATCAGGTGGTTAAGCAGAGTGTGGGTAACCAGGTGATGGAGATGTTGCAGAGACCAGGCAATGTCAGCGTACTGTTGTGGTTGAGAGCTCAGCTCTGGGGTTAGTCATTACTAAACATATTGTGGCTCTAACCCTCACATCTCTGTGTCTTCAAGCGAGACTTCTGAAGAATCAGTTTCCTCATCTCTAAAACAGAGATAATAATTACACTGTTTCCATTTTGAGGATCAAATAAGATAATACATACAAAAGAGGGAGAATCATGATCAATAAATGTTACCTATCCTCCTCATTCTCCCCTTCAGCACTATTATTCCTGTTAGCATATCAGTTGTTCCTTAGCAAGGCATCATGACAGGGTTTGGAGATCCAGGCAGAAGTTGTCCATCGACACTGCTCAGCTCTCGCTTACTCACTGCGGGGACGGTACTGAAGATGAACATCCAGTTCCTGACCCAAGACCTTTCCTGAAGATATTGACACGTGTTAACAGAATGATTACTGGCTTGTGTAGGGTGGAATTGATCTTGGAGGAGGTTATTTCTAAATGTTCTGGAGTTTGAGGGGGTGTGTAATTTAGCATAAGGAAGAGGATGCGTTTTAGATAAGGTGAAAGATTGCATTGATACATACTTTTGGGAGATGTTTAAGTGAGGAGTGGAAATCATGCTGAATAAATTGGACTTGATCTAAAAAGTTATGGCCCAGAAGTTATAATGAAAGTGATTAATAAATATGACTACAAAGAAATTATAAACTCTTCATGCATATTAAAAATATAACCCAAACAATATTTTATAGTGTGTGTGTGTATATATATAACATACATGTGCATGTGTGTGTGTGTGTGTATATATATATACATATATATATATATATGACACAGGGCTAATTTTGTGAATATACAAAGAATGCTTATAAATCAGTAAGATGATTTGTATCGACATGGATGGAACTGGAGGGTATTATGCTAAGTGAACTAAGCCAATCAGAGAAACACAATTATCATATGGTTTCACTCGTATGTGGAACATAAGGAATAGTGCAGAGGACAATAGGGGTGGAAGGCGGGAAACTGGGAAGAAATCAGAGAGGGAGACAAACCATGAGACTCTTGACTCCGGGAAACAAACTGAGGATTGCAGAAAGGGAGGTGGGTGGGGGGATGGGGTAACTGGGTGAGAGGCATTAAAGAGGGTACATAATATGATGAGCACTGGGTGTTATACTGAACTAATGAATCATTGAACATTATATCAAAAACTAATGATGTACTATAAAAAATCAGTAAGATGATGAAAATAGAAAAAATACAAAGGACTTGGACAGAACACTCAGGAGAAAGACACAAAAATAGCCAATAGTGGGAAGATTTTCAACATCATTGATGATTAGAAAATGAAAATGAAAAAAAGATACCATTTCAGCAAAGATTAAAAAGAGATGGACATAGTGTTGGTGAGAGTATGAGGTAATTGGCATACTCATACACAGTTGGTGTAAACAAGTTAGTATAACTTTTATGGAGGAATAATTAGTATCTTTTTAAATAAAAAGTATGTAACTGACTCACTGCTAAAAAATATCTCAAAAATATACCATTCATAAATGCACCGAGTTCTATATACAAGGATGTTACTCAGAACTTTTTTTTTTTTTTTAAAGATTTTATTTATTTGACAGAGAGACAGCGAGAGAGGGAGCACAAGCAGGGGGAGGGGGAGAGGGAGAAGCAGGCTTCCCGCTGAGCAGGGAGCCGGATGCGGGACTCAATCCCAGGACCCTGGGATCATGACCTGAGCCGAAGGCAGACGCTTAATGACTGAGCCACCCAGGCACCCCTACTCAGAACTTTTTAATAGCCAAAACAAAGTTCTATTAATGAAGAACTGTTTAAACAATGATAGACGCATGCAATGGAGAATGAAGTAAGTCTATACATACTGTTACAAAATGTAGTCCACAGTATATTGTTAAATCAAAAAGACAACTGAAGAACGGTATATACAGTATTCTTCTGTTCATGTGAAAAATTTATAAATAAGTATATGTGTATAGAAATGCTCTAGAAGGAAACATAAGAAAGTTTGATGGTTGTTATCTCTGGGAATGCAGGGAGGAAAATGTTTGCCTTTTACTGAATTGCCTTCTGTACTGTTTGAAAACTTTACCATCAACATGTATTATTTTTGTAATTAAGAAAGGAAAGAAATCCTTAGTAAAAATATCTAAAGAGGAAAGGGGAACCATTGCAATGTGTCTGAAAAATAGTTTTCCTAACTAAATGAGGTGCTGTCTTAGAAAATGAAGCTTCCTTTGCAACTCACATCATTAGTTTTCTCCATTTGAAGGGCAGAGTTCCTTTATTGTTTAGTAGTGCTTACTTTACCCTGAGCACTACTGTTAAGTGCTCTAATCATCATACAGTCCTGGGTGGTCATTATCATTATCCCCACTTAGTAGATAAGGAAAGTGAGGCACGTGGAAGTTAAAATTACTTAACCAAGTTCACATAGCTAGTAAGCTCTAAAGCGGAGATTCAAACCCAGAATGTTCACACCTTGGGCACTATGTGAAATGTTTAGAAGCTTTGAATTCTACTTGGGTGATCTGGTGATAGGACCTATGCCATATGCCCCCAACTCTTCCTTTTGGACTCCAGATCACACCTATCCACTTTTCTGACCCTTTGGAGGATCTAATAGGGAAACAAGATGCTGCACGAGAACAAGACCAGGCCTTGCTGGGTATGGAGTAATAATAGGGCCTTTTAACAACTCCTACGGTTGACATAATACCTCAACAGAGCATGTCTTTGAAGAAATATTCTTACTGTTAACTGGAGATGAAAGAGCTGATCTCAGTTAGCTGTTAGGTAAAATGTCGTTGATCCATCAGTTAGTGGAGACTGAGGTTAAGCCAAGAAGGATTGCTGTAGGGATTAAAGGCTGAACTGATTGGCTGAATTCCAAAGTTTTCAAAGTATGTCAAGGTAAGGAGGATTATTTTTTTTAGCTGTGGAGACATGAGAAAACATGCCTTATCATCCAAGTTTATTGAACATGAGTGTGTTTCTTGTTGGTGTTTCTTTAGTGGTTTCCTCAAGAGTTATGTTAAGAAGCTACATCAGAGTTATTTTTGGTAACCCTAGAGGTGAAGTGGTTGATCAAATGATGGGCCCTTGTTGATGTGTAAATAGGACACTAAGATTATCTAGTGGTCTTTAATGCTTTTTGATCACCCTTCATTCTAACAGGTTGATACTGAAAACTTTCTCCACATGCAAGCAGGTTCTCTGGGTGGGCATGTAGCTAGTGGGCATCCCAGTTGACAAGCTTAGTAAAGAAGACTGGTCACTGAATATAACTATTGAGGCACTCCTGGTGGTTCATCATTCTTTGATGATTCTGAAACTGGATGCACAGTTCTGTGTAAGGAATAAACGGTTTTTCCTTCCTGTGGTTCATCATGCATTGTGGATGGGTGCTTGATGAGGGATATGGCGTCCTACGGGGCTACCATGAGCAGCAGAATGTCCAATGTGGGAACAAAACACATGCTGATGGCCGAGGCAGAAAATCCTGATTTGAAACAAGGCCTGGGAGAGGTTTTCATGATCTTCGGGTAGCAATGGAGATCAGTACTCCTAGAGAGATTCAAGTTTTCAGTTTAGAAAGATTCAGGGAACTCAGTCCTCTGGTCACTTACCCAAAACAATAAGACACACACTGTTACTTTAGGTGGTGCCAAGCTGTGTGGATAATGGGAGAGATAAATGAAAGTACTCAGAACTAAAGGTTCTCTTCTGGTGAGGGAATAATAGTCTGAGTTCATTGCTGATGAAATATGATTTGGCTATGCCAAATCTAGGTCTAGAGCTGTGCTGCTCACAATGGCAGGGGCTGGCCACATTTGGCTAAATTTAAATGAAAATTAAAAATTCAGTTCCTTAGTCACTCAAGTCACATTTCAAGTGTTCAACACTAGTATGATAGCTAGTAGCTACCATAAGGGATAGTGAAAAATTCATGTGACCTTTCCATCATCATAGAATGTTCTATTGAGCAGCACTGATCTAGAAAATAAACAGTAGGTCCTCAAAGATATTCTATCAAGAAACACCATTTTGGTGCCTTGATTGACCACACCAGGGAGGCCCTATCTAATTTTAATTCTGAATCACTAGATTTGAAACAGAAAGGCAGGCAGTAAGACCTTAGATTTTGGTGTGAATTATATAGCCTAATTTTCTCAGTAAAGACACTTCTGTTAGGGGATCACTATGGATAATAGTCACAGGCAAGGAGGTGGGAGCAGAGGATGTGATGCTGTGAGGTTAGGATTTCCTCTGAATGAGAAAAAGTATGTGACCCAATTGGGCAGAAGGAAGTGGTCAGAAGCATTTCTGATATTTGTATAAGGGGTGAAAATAACTGACCTAGAATTTCTGGAACTGCCTTTGGTTTAGACCGCCTTCGCTTTCTTATCTGATTATGTTGGTAAAAATAAGTTAGATATCCTAAAAAGAGTATGAATCTTAGCTTCCCTATCTTGTTTAAGGGACTCAGTGCCTTCCTCAAAAGGAAAGTTGTTCTTTTACTAGTCTTGTTTCACATGCCTTTAAAAGTTCAGAAGTAATTAAGGAAAAGAACAAATGAAGGGCAATAATACTTCTCACGCTCATCAGGATGTTCCTGGTGACTTGTAGCACAGGGATATACCTAAATCACTCTCAACAGAGTCTGGTGAGCCATTAGGTTGCCCCCTCCCACCCTAGCATTTTGATGTAGTCTCATAAACTGAGGAATTGAGAAGCAGTGAAGACTGTTTGAGGTCTTCATCTTTAGGGCCTAGAAGACAGGATGCCTGGGATCAAAAAATCTGATGAGATGGTAAGATCCTTCATGGATATTAGGAAGTACATCAAGAGAGATGTTAAAAAGAGGAGGTCACTATTCAAAGAACAGCTAGAAGGATTAAGAACAGAGAAACTGGCTCTAGGAACTAACAGTTTTCATGAACTGACTGAGAGAATAAAAGGGTGGCTACTGGGACCAAAAAGGGGCTTTCCAAGGCAGCAATAAAAACATGAACACTGGACCTTGTTTAATTCTGGATAGTTCATCATCCTCTCACACAAGAAGAACCTCTAGCATCCAATAAATACCTGTTGAATTAATCCTCGGGAAAGAAGATCACACTGGATGCATAAATTCCTTTATTGAAAATATTGGGCTAGCACTGCATTACATATACTCAATATCCATAAATGAAGGGCCACACATTTCTCATTGGACAATACTGTTTTAAATAGAGAACACAGCATCTGGGTATGCTCTCACAAGTATAATATCATGGACTAAACTAGGTAGACATGAACTATATGCAAAATGACCATTTTGTTCATTAATAGCATATGGTTGCACACGGCATAAATGCTAAACTTGATCATCATGAGACCTTCCTGATCTCTCACACCAACACATCATTTAATGAGCAGGTTAAGGTTAAACTGTCAATATGTTGTTAATCAAGAGTTCTCAACAGGAGAACTTGGGTGAAAGCACACCCAGGCTACATATTTAAGATTTAACAGAATTCATTTAAACTTGCATGGAATGTGAATTAAAATAGTTGCTGATCTGACAGGAGGCCACTTGGCAATTTGTTCTCTTTCATAAATACCCTAAAATAAGAGAATAAAGGAAATATTCTGCCAGCTTAAGGCTAACATTCTAAAGACGGTTTTATTTTTTTTAAATGCAGGTATATAAATGCTACTTGTTATTAACTTTTCCTTTCAGAGATCACTGGGGATATAATTTATGACAGACCACTTCTCAGCTTTGGCTGTCATTTGAAAACTTTTTCCATTATCAGTCTTTGGCTTTCATACAAGTTTGGCAATCAGTAATATTGTTTAATTTTTAACAAGGCTTTATTATCATTTTTAACAGAGTATTTTATGATATGAAAATGGGTTGATGTTAAAAAATAGGTTTTACTTTTTTTATTCCAATTTTGGTATGAATGTACTTCTTTGCATTGCTTTTTCTCAAAAGAGTCTAGAAACCAAGACAGTTGGGCTAATTTGACATTTTTCATTTGCTATAAAATATGCAGAAATTAAAACATTCAGTTTCTTTTAAAACAGAGGCCTGTTCATTAATTTAAGAACCTGGGGAAAATTATGCACAAAACACTATGAAAATAAAGTTTTTGTTATTAACACACATGATTTTGTAAGAAACAGAACATTTTCTTTTCAAAAGCAGGGTTTGTTCTAAGTCTGGATTCAGAAAGGTATCCATTTTTGTAAATACCAACTTATGACTGTGGGAAATGGCTTCTTCTTTACACAATTATGTTCAGAGTAAGTAAAAATGTTCCTTTTTTAATGACTAAATGGAAAGCTGGCCTACAACAGTCAAATCAATAAACATTGGTAATGAGTTTTTTTAAAATTTCAGAATTATGCATATATATATATATATATATATATGCTGCTTAAGACCTATCACCCTAAACAATCAGGGCCAAAAAAAAAAATTTCAATATAAAACTATATAAATCAAATGGGTTTGTTGCCAAAACATAGCACAAAATGTATACATTTATTTCAATTTGACACATTAAAAGAAAAAACTGCCAACAAATTTTAGACAATATACTAGAAATAATAAATAAGACAATTTTTAAAAAAATCATATATTCCCTTTAAGTGCCGAGCACTTTCAGTTTTTCTAAATAAGACTAAGCTTTTCCATGGCAAACAATATTATGCTGTACATTTTGGTAATGAAAATTATGTTGATAAATACACAAGGCATGTATGTATTTCCACAGTATATTTTTTTTCACAGTTACCAAAAATAAAAATTGCATTCAACTCATACATCTATAAATATTCTGATTCCTCACTGTATAGATTTGAAGGAAATGGGAGTATAAAGTCCTTCAACACTCCGGACTTCAACTCTTTCTTCCTTGTCTGCCCTCCACATGTCCCTTCCAGAATCCCTCTGCGGTGTGGCCATGCTCTGAGACGTTGGCGGAAAGAAAGCAGTATGGTGGGATGAGGCAGTCAGGGCCGGGGCTGTGTCTTCCAGGAAGCCAGCTTTAGGAGGGCTGATGGAACCTGATCTTTTTAATGTGGTATTTTAAGGCAGTCTGAGTGAGTTTCACTCAAATGTCCATACCTCGAGGTCCTGAACTATGAAGTCTTCCTTTTTGGAAAGGATATCGTTATTGAAAGTGCTGCAAGAGTTGCTCCGTCCATGGTATAAATCAGCATCTAGCCATAAACCAAATCGTCCCCTGAAAAGATCACAAATACAAAAAGGTAAAAACACTTCAATCGCATGTGGCACACTTTCTGCCCTCCCTTGCCCCATCTTCTTTCCTTTATGCTACCAACAGACAAAACCCTGAACTGCTTGGAAAACAAAGCATACATTTCCTTTATTCCATTTAAATGACTCATCTTTCCCAAAAGACAAATGATAGTAGTCCCTCCTTTAGACACATAAATAAACCATTTTATCTTTGACTCTTAGGGCTATGTGTTAGGCCACTGTCATAATTAAGCATATGGCCTAGCTAAAATCACCTGACACAAGGTTTTGGTTACCTGGGTCAAAACAAACTCTCACAGGTCAGGCAGTAAATTAATAACAACAAAAACCTTACCCTCCACCACCAAGTTCCAAAGAACTTATGTCTCCATTGATAAAGTATGAGTTTTCTCCACTCCACTTAAAGACCTTAGGGTAGAAACACAAGAGAGAGAACAGACATGTGAATCTGGAGAATCAGCGAAGAGGGAATTACTAGGGTAGTACCTCTGTGTGGAAGGAAACTACCCCTTGGTTGAGGAAGCTCCTGATTGCCAGACCTTTCCGATACCAGGATGAGATCTTCAAAGGGGTTATAAAGTAGGAAAGACCTCTCAAGCACATGTTGGCTCTGACCTGCTATCATGCCTCCCTTGATCCCAGAACACACAAAAAAACAGTTTTCAAGGCCCAAGGAAGGACCCTCAAAGCAGTTTGTGTGCTGTAGCCATGAAGGGCGGACCCAGGCTACAGTGAGTCCAGATGAGGTTATGGAACAGCTGCTGCTCCAAAGACAGTCCCCCACCTCCAACCCCACCCACACTCCTGACACCGCAACACTGGGAAATCGGGTATTTCTCCCATTTAGGTACCTTGAAATTGGGGCTAAATGTGTACAGAAAAGTTTCGCCTGTGCCATAATAGTGGTCACTGAACTTGAAAGGATGAGTTGCATATGCTCCAAAAATCTGTCAAAAGAACATAGAAACATTATCTCTTTTTTTTTTTTAAGATTTATTTATTTGACAGACAGCAAGAGAGGGAACACAAGCAGGGGGAGTGGGAGAGGGAGAAGCAGGCTTCCTGCTGAGCAGGGAGCCCGATGCGGGGCTCGATCCCAGGACCCTGGGACCATGACCTGAGCCTAAGGCAGACGCTTAACGACTGAGCCACCCAGGAGCCCCGAAACATTATCTTCTTTTATTTATATTTATTTATTTATTTATTTTATTATTTTTTTAAAGTGATTAGAGATTTTCACTTTTATTTTTTTAGATTTTTTTATTTTATTTATTCATGAAAGACAGAGAGAGAGAGAGAGAGAGGCAGAGGGAGAAGCAGGCTCCCAAGGAGCAGGGAGCCTGATGCGGGACTCGATCCCAGGACCCTGGGATCATGACCTGAGCCGAAGGCAGATGCTTAACCATCTGAGCCACCCAGGCGCCCTTATTTATTTATTTTTTAAGATTTTATTTATTTATTTGACAGAGAGACACAGCAAGAGCAGGAACACAAGCAGGGGGAGTGGAAGAGGGAAAAGCAGGCTTTCTGCTGAGCAGGGAGCCCGATGTGGGACTCGATCCCAGGACCCTGGGATCATGACCTGAGCCGAAGGCAGACGCTTAACGACTGAGCCACCCAGGCGCCCAACATTATCTTCTTTTAAAGAACGGCCTCCCAAAGAATGGCTTTCTGAAATATTCTAACACAATCCTATTCTGAGATATCATTAAACCTCTTTCAGCAAAGACTATTACTAAATTAGAGCTCTTAAATTAAAAAGACTACCAACAAACAGATAAATAAAAAAGCCCTAGTTCTAATTGGAACTCAAGTGGTTCAGAGAACGTATTTGTCAAAGGCCAGCAATTGTTCCAATTTTAAGACACTTCTGAAGTCCACTATGGGGTCAAATTTCCTTTAGTGAATACAGATGACATACTGGGAACATCAAACAAGATGCATCTTGCACACAGAAGTGAGTGGTTGAAAGAACAAAATCACGTGTCTTATGTGTTTTATAAGTGGAGTCATGGCCAGACATGTCCACAGAGAAAATAATTTTTTCTCTTTCGATTTATAAAAATGAGTTCTCAATATGCTTATTAACACTGTGTCCTTAACATGACTGATCTAATATCTCTTAGCTCGAAATGGCTTTTAAGAAAAAAAAAAAAACAACAATCCCATAGTACTATGGACTTTAAGGGTGATTTAGATGTATTTGAACCAATAATTTTTCTATTTTTTTCTCACTGTCCTAGCTTCCTATCTTTCTGCTCAGATTCTGATCAGTGCTTGCAAGGGTAAGAGATGGCAAGAGTGAACATATATATTTTGAAAACATCCCTAAGTGATTCTGATATACCTATTTCGGAAACCCAGTGGAGAAACATTGCGTTAAATGGAGGTTATCTGAAAAATGTCATAACTTTTGAAAATTATTTTAATTGGGTTATAATTAATGTGGAATCTCTTCTTCACCAGTTATACTTAGTTCCTGGCAACTTGAAATACTAAAAATTAGGTAGGGTAGAAGTCTAGAAACTAATAATGTTCTTCATACTTCCTGCTACTAAGCCTTTCTCTAGAGCTGCTAAGAACAAACAAAAACAAAACAGTAACAAAAATATCAAAAATCCATTTTCCTTCTTTTGGTGATCTTTCAATAAAAAAAAAACACTGAGATAGGCATCTACTTTTAAAAGCATGTGCTTAAAATAGGACAAGAAGGGCAATGGCTGTAGGTGGAAGAAAGTGGGTCCTTTTCTGATCAATGAAGAGGAAAAGTCACCCTACGCTCACCCTCTCATGATTCTAAATATATTTTTTTTTTCCTAAATAAATTCTTTCTTAGCTAAAATTTTCTTAGCAATCATGGAAATCTACTTAAGGATTAGGGACTGGATGATAACTAAGAAATTACTGTTGGGCGCCTGGGTGGCTCAGTTGGTTAAGCGACTGCCTTCGGCTCAGGTCATGATCCTGGAGTCCCGGATTCGAGTCCCACATCGGGCTCCGAGTCTGCTTCTCCCTCTGACCCTCTTCCCTCTCGTGCTCTCTATCTCTCATTCTCTCTCTCTCAAATAAATAAATAAAATCTTTAAAAAGAAAAAAGAAATAACTGTTAATTTTGTTAGGTACATAGCATTGTGGTTATGTAAGAAAATGTCCATTTTCTCTTTTCTATTCACTTATTTTGAAAGAAATTTTATAGATATGTATATAATGATATTGTTTAAAAATTTAATATATTTGCCAATAACAGAACAAAGGAATCCATGGGGAAAAAAAAGTTGAGACAACCAAAAGTGGTAAAAAAAAAAAAAAAAAAGGTTAATATAACAAAACCTATAAATGTATATTTGCTCTCCTCAAAAAAAAAAAAAAAAAAAGAAAAAATTACATGAAGTAGTAATCTTTTTATTTTTAAAAATTTATTTAAATTCAATTAAGATACAGCATAGTATTAGTTTCAGAGGTAGAATTTAATGATTCATCAGTTGCATATAATAACCAGTGCTCATTCCATCAAGTGCCCTCCCAAATGCACAATTTATCATTGGGTTTTTGATATACATCAGTGTAATATGTATAACAAAATTACCACAAAAATGGGAAAATGTAATTGAGCAATATCGAAGTAACATTTCTGTACCTCACCGGAATTAAGTTAGTATAAATCAGACTCTATCCATTGCCTGAATATTGATTGCTATTTTCCACAATGCCTTGTGGTATAAATTACTCCACAGTCTAATCTGACTGAAATTGGGCCCCTGTGCAGGGGTAGTTTCTTTGGCCAGTTCATGAAGTTTATCCTAACTCCAGGAAGGCCCTCCTTTAGCTATCTCTTTTCCTGGTTCTCTCTGGTAAACTAGATGGTCCTCAGTTTAGCTTGTTGTCTTCATGCAGTTACCAGCCTCCTCTTAATTGTTCACCACCAAAATTTTCATTGTTTTCTAGAGTACCCTTTGGCTTGAACTTCTTCATACTCTTCTAAATAAAGTCAGTTCCTTTGGGGACAGCTTCAGAGCTCTATGTCCTTTTTTAGGGTTTTTTTGTTGTTTTTTTTTTTTATATATGCTGTGGACAGGGGCTAGGCCAGGGCAAGTTCAACCACTGTGTCTGACAGGGCAGGATGGGGGAGCATGTACAAGGGGTCTGGTGGGAGCCACAGGGGACAAGTGCATGAGTGCATGGCTGGGGAGAGTCTGTGTGCTATGTCTGGAGCAGCTGTGGTAGATGAGCACAGAGCTGGGGCCAGCCTAAGTGCCTGGTCTGGCAGGGTAGAGGCCAAGCTGGATGAGCACTGGGCTGGCCTGGTGGGGTGGGGCCACAGGGGAATATGGAGTGAGCTTGTGGCACTAGCAAGGGAAATTGAGAGCACCAGAAATGGCACCCACCAGCACCACGCTAGCAAGGAAGTAGCATTTAAAAAAAAAAAAAAAAAAAAAACTAGCACCCTCCAGTGTCTCTATTCCCAGAGAGATCTCCATCAGACCCCTGCCCCTCTGGTATACTCTCTAAAACTAGTCAACAAATCTCCCTCACCTGCAGCCCAGGTGCTTCTCAAGCTACTGCCTCTGTGTTGAGACTCAGCGCAAGTAAGTCTGTGTGTGAGCCCTTCAACAGTGGAATTTCCCTTTCCTACAGCCCTCATGCTCTCCCAGAAATTACTTGTCAAAGACAGTTGTTTTGGGGGCTTGCCTTTCTGGTCCCATAGGCTGGCGTGCCTAATGTGGGACCTGAACCCCTCACTTCTCAGAGAGGAGCTGCATGTTTTGTGATCTCTCTCTCTCTCGTGGGTCACTAGGGGGATGGAGTGGAGTCCTGTCAAGACCACTTTTCTGCCCCTCCTACCCATCTTGATAATGGCTTTTTTTCTTTTTTCTTTTTTCTTTTTTTCTTGTCCTGTGTTATAGAAGATCCATTTTGTTTTTTTTTCAGGTCTTTTTCAGTTTTTTTTGTTCTACCACTGTAACCTTGGTGTGTCCACGGGAGGAGGTTAGCAGAGCTCTAGGTCTTAGGATCTGCCTCTTCTCTCAGAGCTGGGAGCCAGGGGCTCTGCTGTGGAGCTGGGGGCTGGATAGTGGCCCGCTTCCCTCAGAGGAACACTTATTTTATAAGCAGGGTGGCAGGTAGGGGAAGTAGCTGGTGGTCTTGACTTGCCTCACCCGGCATAGAACTTCTGCCCTAAGAGCTGTGGCAAGGGCTTTAGATACTCTTTTATGCTACCATGCCTAAGGTAGAGCACCTCCCCTAGGAATAGAGGTTAGGTAGAAGAAAATAATCCTCTACCTCTAAGCCGTCCTTACCTGGAATTTAGCCTCTGAAACACAGATCTTGGATAGGGGGTAAAAGTGCTAGGGACCTGCCTGCCCCTCGAGGATATATCATAGCAATTGTGAGAGACTTGAAGTGACTGTTGTTTTTTATAATTTCTACCAGTTATGGTTGTTTCACTGATTATCGATTCTGCAGAGCTCCCTTTGCTGCCATTCTGCATGTATAATTCTTTTAAATTAGAATTTTATATAATTTATTCCCAGATAAATTTACAGGTGTTGTTCTATCATGTTCTCAAACACAGCAAAGCCACATTCCTGCCTTGGGGGTAAATGGGTGTGGAGAGCAGAGTTAGTATTCAGGTGTTTTCAAACAACACAAGTGCCTCTAGGGCACCAGATCCAGTAAGACTACACCTCCTGATAAATAGTGTAGGCTTCAGGTAGAGGCCTCATTTATATACCTGCTGACAGGAAGCTTGGTGAAACTGTGCTGCATCCCTGCTCTGTGCTGCCAGCACGTTCCCCAACAAACTTGGTATCTTTTGGTAAATTTGTGGGAAAACTAATCTATACTTATGGTGAGGGTTTGTGTGTGGCCTAAAACCATCTAGCCATAGCTCCTCTAAAACATAACATCCAACTTTTCAAACATTTCACTAAATCCCTACATAATTCCATTTTAAACTGCTGTTATTATTATTTTAATTTTTAACTTGACTGTACCCACTTGCATGGTGATTAAGATGTCATCAATCAAGAAATAATAATAGTAACAGTGATAATAGCTAAACAACTCCCCACAATTCTTTATCTATAATAACGCAGCAATAAAGTCCCAGAAAAGATCACAGTGGAGACAGACAATGCCTCCAGTACCCCCCTTCTCTCTAATTTCTCCCAAGACAAATTATGATAACAAAGATCTATTTCCCTAAAATGAACGCAATTACATAGCTTTACATAGCAAGCTCCCAATGCTTAATAGTGCCCCACATATGACAGGCACTCGTACATTTTCTGAACATATGAATGAATGAAAGGCTGTTTGAACAAAACCTGCTTCAATGCCAGAAAGAGAAAAGAATAACATCTACATCTTAAAAATGTAAAGGAATTTCTTCTTGATATAACACAGATAAACTGGAGTGAATAATAAATAGCAGACTTGAAAGATGTCTTCCTCTTGTGGAGCAGAAACCTGATTGGGTAGTATATGAAAGAAAATTGCACAGATTCCACTCACACCCAAGCTGACTGAGAGAAGTACTAGTGAGGGGACAAGGGGGTAATATCGAGAATTCACCACTGCCTCCATATAGTACAGGCGAAAGGGCAGTGAGCAATGGTACAGAACATTCCTTGCTATTTCATAACAATTGGGTCCTTCAGGTACAACACACCACAGCCCTGACAGGCTCTCCATCTGAGCAACCATGCAGACAAGGTTTGTGGGCACTACTTCAGCTACCTGGAAAGAGTTCTGGTATGGCACTGGAGCTTCTTTCTGCAATTCCTGTATGTGACTGTATTTGGAAATACACTCCATTTTCTTCTAGAGATGCATTCGGAAGTATGTAGGGGTGAAATGACATAGTAATTGGGATTTACTTCAAAATACTCCAGCAAAGAAAAACCAACAAAGACTGATGGAGCGTATGTGGCAAAATCCTGCTAACTGTAAAATCCGGATGATGGGGAGTTCTTATACTGGTCTCTCTACGATTGTGTAAATTTGAAAATCTTCATCAAAAAATGTTTTCTGTGAGTGGAACAAGCCTCACCTGATTATCCATATCTTTGATGACCAACAGGACAGGACCGTCTAACGACGCTGACTTCCGATAGAGAGTTTTCAAACTGGTCCCATGTTCTAATGTGCTATAGGCGAGTCTCCACGGGTACCCCTGTACCCTTGCTGGAAGGCGTCGGGCCAGCTGCAAATCCAAAGATGGAGATGTATATATACAATTCGCCCACGGATCTGATAAGCTTGTAGCACAAAGCAAGTACCTGAGGCTCAAACTCAAAAAACATACTTACTCACATGTTGCTCCCTTTTACTCTGACAAATATTTGTAACTATAAACCAGGAAACAGAAGGGAAAAATCACTGCTTTGATGGTGCTGTCTTGGCAGGGATGCCACCAAGAGCATACATTCCCTCTCAGGGACTTGAATGAGGGGTCACTAGGCAACTATACATTTGAAGATACAGCACCTAGCTTGATATGAATTAGACACATGCTCTCCCTTTTACACTTCAACCTGCCCTTCACCAAATAGTTCATGGTTCTCCAGTTTGTTCTAAATGCTCATACACTCAGAGCTGCTACTGACGACTAACTGCAGCTTCCCACAGAAGTGAGAAGAAGAAAACGCAGGTGTTTTATGCTAGTAGTCAAATGTAGTCTGTATTCATCTTGATGCATCTTTCACCTACATTAACAGTTAGCTTAAATTTGGCTGCCATAAATACCAATAATGCGTGTCTGTTCAAAAATACCAACAAAGGAGGCTATGAAGTACTGAAGTCTTCAGAATGCTTAATATCAGTTGTAATATCAGCATGAACCCCATTTCTGTAACTGCTTGGTCAAGTCTCTTGGCTTTCCTGGGCCTTTACAGACTCATTTGCAAATTGAGGGAGTTGAACTTGATTCTTTAAGGTTTCTGAAATTCAGGTTTCTAAGTTGACTTATGGGAGAAATGCAAGAGATTCCTTACTAAAGTTCAAATACAGCAAACCATAGTTTTTCATAAAATTGAAGTAAGAGATTTTCAGAAAATATAAAGTGAACAAAGGAAATCACAGAAAAAGGAAAATTACTTGGGGTTGGTAGTTTTCATAAAGCTAGTAAAGTATATTTGCTATATGACTTTTATTTAGCCCAGTAAGTTAAAACTATTGGAACTCTGTAATAATCACGAGGATAAATTTGGATCCTTTTTTAAGTGTCAGGAATATGCATGAAGACTATGGTAGGACAATTTAAAAATTGTGTTGAAGACAAGAAGGGCTTTTCATTCAGACTTAGGAGATGGATATAGTTTCCGGCCAAGTCCCCAAACTCCCGAGAAGGTGACAGGGAGTGCTAAAGTAACCTCAGAAAAGGAGAAAGGACACTGGTGTTGGTTAGGCTGGTGTTCTTCTTTTAAAACTTGGCTCTTCCTTCACCCCGTGAAAAGAGCAAATGCAGGGATGGGAAATGCTTCTTTGAGGCCTGGAAGACCTCTGTCCTAAGTCCCCTTAGGGAGAGCCCACCTGCTCTATGTGCATGTTTTCCAGGAGTGCACTGTGGGGCTGCAGGATTGGCAGGGCCACCTCGTCATCATCTTCATAGTAACTGCAGGTGCTCTTCCTGCGCTTTGCCTCCTCAACAGTGATGATCTGAAATGGAGAAGAGAAGCCCCCCAAACCTGATATATTTGCTTTTCCTTCGCCTACTAAAAACGACCTCAGGTACACAATTGCCTGTAACAGGTGGAGTTTTAGCAGTAGGACATAAATTGAACCAGAACTCTGGGAAAAGGGCTAATTTCAGCTACAATTTTGAACAAACGCAGAATTTAACACAGTACAACCGAGACACTTAATATGTGCAAATTAAAGTCACAGGTTTTCCTTTTCTGCTGCTGAGGGCTCACTGAGTGTGAATTATTATGCATAACTCCACAGGTGACTTATACCCTTGAAATGCCCTAAATTATTCTCTTTTAGCCTGCATCTAAGTTTGAATTGTTAAGGGACTAATCAGCAATCATTCTGTAAGTCTTCTATAAATAGGGAAATTGGGAAGATAAGGATAGTTTGTTTAATCAAGACTCCTCTAATGTTTTCTCTCAAGGCTATGGCACAAAGCAACAAACCCTGATAGAACTAACAAATGGTAACATCCACCAGAAGCACCAATACAAAGAAATACAAAGCCTTAGGCTAAATTACAATTAGGTTACATTTCTTTTTGTACAATCAGAAACCATCAAAATAACCTTTCAAAACTGAGAAACAGGATTTTATACACATTTATTATTTCATTGTTAACTACGCTTATGAACAACCAAAGTCAATTTCAACTTAAAAATCTATTTTTTGTCCCTCCTAACATCTGGATAAATCACTAAATGATTTTGAAATTGAATGATATAGTAACTAATTCAGCAAAATACCTCGGTACTAGTGTCAGTGACGTTTGCATTATAGAGAAAAAGCATTCACGTTACATCTAGTGAAAGTTGCCAGATGACACACCACTCAATTTCCAATAGGCACAGTGACAGATATAAAGTACCTGCCACCGTCTGAGCCAGATTTATAGGTAAGGAAATTAACTACTAAATTTTATTATCTTCTCATGGGGGCTTTACCTAAAACCCTGGCAAAGAATCACAAATGCAGCATTTTAAATGTATAAATTAAGCACATGTTTTTAGTGAACTCCACCATTTAACAGAGGTACAAATAGGGCTGTGGAATGAAAAACTAAAATATGGATTTTTACTCCAAAGAGAAGGGACAAACCACATCATATCCATCTCCGAAACAAATAAAATACCTGCTTCGGTTGAAATGTCAGCACATCCTTTCTAATTAGAAGGCATTTTGAAACATAGCGAATGGCGGATCTCTGAGGATTCACCGGCACCTTATTAGCTCTCAGGGACTCCGACATACCTTCACAAAAGGCTCTTGGTCCGGTCTGGCACAATAGAAAATCTGAATGTCCAAGGGCAACCTTCGGATTCGCATCCTGATGGGAGGGAGAACTGTCTGCTTGCTCTCTAATGAGAAACAGCGTTTTCCTCTGCCGTCACACACTGTTGCTTCCAGCCACACTGAGCTACAACTGTTCTTGCTGTATCTAGTTTCCTGAATAATTGAGTTTCTGTTTCCCTTAGGAGAGGGTTCAACATTTCTACAGGAACACACCCAAATTAGGATTTAGAGCAAACACACACTTCCTGTCAGGCAGAGCTGTGAGGCTGTAAAATGACACTTTCACCTTTGAAACGGTAGTTTCCTAACTGCAACAAAACTCCATTGGTTTGGGGTTTGTTGTTTTTTTTTCCTTTATCTTCTTATACTTTCCTTCCTAATTGTCCTCTGGCTAACTAGCTCTTCTAGCCCTGCCTTTCCAGAGTTTTTTTCAGCACCTTCTCTAAAGCTAAATTTCCATTTTAAACTTTATGGATGTTGCCGGACATAGGTTTGAATCTCGAAGGAAGGATGAAAGGAGACTTTACCCAAGGTAGGTTCATTATACTTAGGCCAATGGCATTTTACTTCAATACCCATCATGTTTGTTAGATATGAGGAACTTAAAAGAATGGAGAACATTTGGTTTATATGAGGCTGAGAAAAATGTTACTTTAGATTCAGTTTTTCAAAATAGCTGGCAAAGGAGCATTTACCCTTAATGACTAATAAGCATGATGAGCCCACCTCTACTTCCCAGATCAGATGGCACGAGGGGTTGGAAAAAAATGTAGATTACCATTGGATCAATTTTCAATGATCTTTCTGTGACTCTTCCGCATCTAAAATGGTCTTAGGTACTGCTGAGGGGGGTCAGAGTGCTATTGCATAGCTCATCCTGAAGGTCGGTTCTAATGAGAACTCTGGCAGATACTTAGTGACCAGACCCAGGTCAGTTAGAACTTATTTTCAGTGCAAGAACCAAGACACAATCTGGGGCAGAATCACGTGGATTTTGTGCCAGTGAGACAGCATTCTCTCTTCAGTACCTGACACTTCACAATGGCTTGCATTTACTGATTGCCTTCCCTGTGATGGCAAGTACCAGTTACTCTGCCAGACTTGGGGACACAAAGCAGTCCTTAGTCTCAAGTGGGTGAGGAGACAGCAGAGAGACATTTATTTTTATTTTTATTTTTTTAAGATTTATTTATCTTAGAGAGCATGATTGGGAGGGGCAGAGAAAGAGGGAGAAAGCCCCAAGCAGACTCCGTGCTGAGCGTGGGGCTCAATCTCACAACCCCAAGATCACGACGTGAGCTGAAACCAACAGTCTGATGCCTAACCAACTGTACCACCCAGGTGTCCTAGAGACATTTATAAATAAATGAATGCCACTCCACGTAATAGAAATGTTAATAGTAGCAGCTCAAAGGTGGGTGGGGCCACCCAGTGAGTTTTCGGAGATGGCTTATTTATGGAGGTGATGGGGCTTCAGTTTGAGAGCAGAAGGTGGGGTGTGGGGAGTTGTCCAAGTGGAGGGTATAGGAGGAAAACAGAGCTGTGTTCTAGGTTCACTATGGCTTGAGAACAGAAAGCAAGAGAAGTCGAGATGAAGCTGGGGAGGGACAGAAGTGGAGAAAATAAAGAATAGTAATGCCATTAAGAAGTAATGCCATTCTAGAGGCCACTTTTTCTAAAACCTGGCTATTCTTCAAAATCATCTAGGAGCTTTTAAAAACACAGATTCTGACATTCCTCTCCCAGACCTACTGAATTAATGTCTTTAATGGTAAAGGTCTAGGATTCAGTTAAAAAAAAAAAAAAAAATTCACCAAGTGGTGGTTCCGGTAATGATAGCTGTAGGCAATGAAAAAAAAAAAAAAAAAAGCATGGGAGTATATGTTCACATGTGTTATTTAAGCAAGTAAAATAGCACAGAACATTTATGAGAGCTTTAAATATGGTGAAGGAAACATCAGAAATCATTAAACAGTGCTGGAAAAAATTGACTATTAAAAGTATTACCTACCATGTATCAATAAATCAACTGCAGATTGAGTGGAGGTTAGATTGATACTACAGGGCCACCCATACCTAAAAACACTACAGGGAAAAAAATACATAAACAAAAAACATAAATAAAATTAAAAGACAAATAGCCATCTAGAAAAAAATTGGTCAAAAATACAGGATGGGCACCTGGGTGGCTGTCAGTTAAGCAACTGACTCTTGATTTTGGCTCAGGGTCACGAGATGGAGCCCCGTGTCAGGCTCCATGCTCAGCACAGAGTCTGCTTGTCCCTCTCCCTCCCCCTGCTTGTTCTCTTTCTCTCTCTCCCTCAAATAAATGGATAAAATTTTCTAAAAATACAGGAAACAAAAATCAGTAAAATAAAAATTAGTATCTTTTAATCATAAAGAATGCAGTGTGATGAAACTATTTACATACATACATATATATTTTTTTTCATTTATTCTATCCTCACCCAAGGAAATAAAAATTAAAATATATTGTTTCTCAGCTTCCAAATTAGCAAAATTTTTTGGAAAGGAATAATAGTAGTAATACTTTCTGCTGGCATAAACACAGGAAGAGGGGTATTCCTCATATTGCTGGCAAGTTAAGTTGTCATATATAAAAAACAGGAGCCTTAAAAGTTAATACCCTTATATCAATCAATGTCACTTCTAGGAAACTAAGAGAATAGTAAGAGTTGCAGATTATCTCATCCTTGTGAAAAACTTGAACACAATGATTCCTAAAAATGAGAAAATGTTAAATAAATTATAATTGAGATTTTAAATATTATGCAACCCATTAAAATGAGGCTTAAAAATCTTTAAGATGATCCAATTCTCACAAGATGTTAGGTGAGAAAAGCCAGATACAAACCTACACATAAAGCATGAATGCATTTTACAAACATAAAAAGCAAGACTCCCTACCCCTCTCCCCCGAGATAACATCCTAAAATAAAAGAGAAAAAAAGGAATTGAATAAAATGTACAAAAGTGTTAAGTGTGGTCACATATTATTTTTAAACGTTATGCATTGTACTTTTCTGTAGTTTCCAAATTTCCTACAATAAGCAGGTGTTCCTTATGTAAAATTAGGAAATAAAGCTTATTTAAAAAGACTATGTATGGGAGAATGGCCTGGTGGTTGGGTTGGGACTGGAGGTGCCCTTGGAAGTTCAAGTGAAGGGTAAAGACAGGGTGACTGGGGCAGGCTTGGTGGAGGGAAGTAGAGGTCCCTGCACCATGTAAAATCACAATCAATAAGACTCTGACTAGATATGATTAAGGAAAAGAAGCTAGGATGATATCTAGGTTTCTAGCTTGGGACACCACTAATTAAGATGGGAATATGTAAGAAGAAGCAAGTTTGGGGGCAAGATTCTTTTTTTTTTGGATATGCTGAGGATCAGACACCTGCTAGCTTCGGGGGGAGTGAAGGTGCCCTTCCCCACCCATAAAGGAGGAGCAGTGCCATTACAGTGGCTTGGCTTTAGGGTAATGCTATCATGCGAGCTTGCTCCTGCATGGGAGGGATCGTGGCCGGCATTCTTCTACTCACTGCACTTTTGGACTCTCTGCCATATGGCAAAAAAACAGAGAGAAGGTGGTCTGACCAGTCCAGCCACCTGTCTCTCCAGTTATCCACAAGCCCGAGGAGCTTGAAATAGGCCAACTAATTTCTTCCTCCTTCTCTATCCCTTCTTTTTTTCTTCCTCTTCCACTACAAATCTAGAGAGTATTCTCTAGAGGAATTTGCCCTCTCTCTCATTCTCCTCAGTGGCTCAGTCTGAGAAGGCCTAGGGCGGACTGCCCAGGCCCATACCAGATCATCGAGCAGACCTTTCTCTCCCTCCTGCATACCCCTGTAGCTCCTTTTCCCCTGGTGCTGCTAAGTGTGGCCTCCCCCTGCCCTGGGGTTGTCAAGAGCTGAGATTCAAGGATGGAATTAGTGGAGAGAGGCAGAATAGCCCTTAAAGGGGTCTGCTTTGGCTCAAGATATTCAGGCCTCATCAGGCAAGGATTATAGTCCCCCAGGCAGTCTAACCCTTCTCTCTGGAACTCCATATTGGAGCAAGAGACCACAGTCTCAGTAAGAAAATGTACATTTCCTGGCTTTGCTTCATCTGTGGGGGCCTCTTGAGGACAGCTTGAGGAGGACTTGCTATTCCTGGGTGCCTTGGCCAGAATACCTGTATCACACCACCTCTGCCTCATGGATACTTCCAGCAGTGCCTGTGGGGCAGCTATGAGCTCTAGAGTAGCAGCTGGGGGAAGGAGGTATGTGGTGGGGGCAGGTGGCGGGGGGCGGTTAGCAGCACAAGCCACAAGAGTTGATGAGCTCATCCAAGGAAGATGTAACAGATAAGAAGGGGGCCAAGGACAAACTCCTAGGGAACAGCATGAGAAAAGGAACCAGTGAAGTTGACTCAGAAAGACTGGCCAGAGACAGGAGCAAAAACCAGGAAAAAAAACCAGAATTGATAGAAAAAGCCAAGGGAGGAAGAGCCTGATAGGTTAAATATCAAAAAAAAGTGGTTTCAAACAAGAAGCTTTGTGAACTGTGGGGAGACATGTAAACAAGTAAACTGCTGGGCAGTACACGAGAGAGCTATGAACAATGAGCTGTGGGAGGACAGGAGGGGGAACGGACTGAGAACACCACAGCAGTGACGAACGAGCGGGTCCTTGAAGGATGGCAGGGGTTTGCCACAGAAAGCTGTGTGTGTGCCCGCTGCCCATTCAGGCCACGAGGGAATGACAAAAAAGGGAGAGTGAGTCCAAGCACATGTATAAAAGGACCTGGTATTCCAGAAAGGATCAGACCTAAGGGGCAGGCTTATGACCCTCGCTCATCCCAAACTGGCAAGGTTCCAGCCTTGGAAGGATCCCACTGCCCGCTTGAATCTAAAACCAGGCCAGGAGTGCTGGAGAAAATCACCCCTCACCGAAGCCTGGGGCCACTAGAAAAATCCAGTGGCCCTCAAAACCAGACAGCCACCCCACGAGAGTCTTCAGTTAAGAGTTTTTCCTAGCCTCTGTAACTGCTATTTCCTACCTTCACCATATTCCTCTAACTCCTCCTTCACTTCAGGAGATGCCCCTCCTTCCACTGCAAAGAAACCACTGGATGAAAAATGCCACAATTTACCACCACTGAAGCTGCATTTTATTTGCACACACTTTCTTCTTTTCTACTGGGTAGTAGAAGCCACCTAAGACCAGTCCTATCCCTACCCCCACATTCCCTGCCGATGCTCAGAGATTTGCTCTCCCGATCATTCCCTTCCTCCTGCCCTTATCTTCTGTACCTTCTACTCTGGCGTTCCTGCTGACCTCATCCAAAAGGTTAAAGTCTCTCTCATGAGAGGAAAAGCATTCTCCACCCCACTTCTTCCAGCTCACCATCTCATTTCTACTCTCCAGAACCAAATCTGAGTTGTTTGCCCACCTCTATTAGTTCCACTTACTTACCTCCCACTCATTCTTTGAACCCCTGGAATCTAAATTTTGAACTTACCACTTCAATGAAACTGCTTCGGTCAAAGTCACCAACTACCACCTCGGTTTTAAATCCAGAAAACATACCTCAGTCCTTCTGACTCCTCTGCAACAGTAAGTCATTCTGACCATTACCCCCCTCTTGAAACATTCTCTTCCCTTGGCTTCTAAGACATGACTCTACTTGTGTTCTACCTCCTTCCCTGGCTGCTCCTTCTCACTCACCTTTGTGGTCTCTCCTGCCTTTGGCCCCTTTAATGCAGGTGTCCTTAAGTGTTCTGTTCTGAGCCCCATTCCCTTCCCACTGTACATACTCTCCTACGACGACCTCATCTACATTCATAACTTCAACTTTGCTAATGATTTCCAAAAGCGTATCTTCAGATCTTTCTCCTAAGTTTTAGTCTCAGCTGTCTCTTGGACATTCCACAAACACCTCACATTTAGATTAAAACCAGAATGCAGAGCATTTTCTACTAAATCTAATACTCTTGCTATGCTCCTATCTCAGTGAAGGGCAGGTACCACTACCCTCCAGTTCCCACTCTGAAATCCAAGAAATCAATCTTGACATGTTCCTTACTTTCCACATATAATAATTACTCACAAAATCCTGTATATTCCACCTTCTAATTATCTTTCAAAAGCACTCAATTCTCTCCTTCCCCACTGCCACTCTCTCAGCAACCATTATCTCTCAACACTGATGACCGAAAGTGCCTCCTAATGGGTCTTTGAGACTCAAGTGTTGTCCAGCTCCAATCCTTGAACATCTGCCAGCAAGAAAGAACTGTCTGAGATGCATATGCGTGTATACTTCTGCAAACTCAAAACAGTTCAATGCCTTCCCACTGCCTTTAGGAAGATACATATGGCTCATAGGTCCTTTGTGATGTATCCCTGCTTCCTTTCCCTGCTTTGTTTCTTGCCCTTCCTTCAGCTTTGTGCCCTATGGTCCAGCCACACTGAACTTCTGTTAGTCTATCAAATGCCCCACACTCTGTTTCTCCCCTGGGTCAGTCCTCTGCACAGACTTTCCTCTGGCCAGAACATGTCCCATGTCCCATTCCACCCCAATTGCCCGAACTCCCCCTTCTGATCTTCATTCAGATCACTCCTTCTGGGCGGCTCTCCCTGATCCCCCTGGCTCCATTCAGGGGCCTGGCTCCATGCTCCTATAGCACTTGGCACTTCACCTACAATGGCAATTATCTCAATTATACTGTAATGATTCATCCATACTAAATTCTGCTTATCTCATCCATTGTGCCCCTGACACGGGAAAGGCTTGGTAAGTGCTCAAAAATATTATGAAGGGCTTTTCCGGCCACATTAAGGAGCTTGAGCTTCATCCTGTACATAAAGGGGACCCATTAGCAGTTTTTAAAAGGAAAAGCGAAATGACCTGGCAGTGCGGTATTTATCTGACACATATAACTAGCTCAGACAGAGGAATGAAGTTATTTTCCCCGATAACTTCAAAAGTGCACAGGAAATCTAATTTCTTGCCAGCCAAGAAGTTCTTGGTATCTGGACCCAAGAAGATTTTAATTACATACTGTAACTTAAGGACCATGACAGTCTAGCCCCTCTTAAGTTACTCACCTCCCAGCTCTTGGTGGTTGGCTCACTGAAGAAGTTGTCGATCATATTCAGTTCTTCCTTTTCCACCACCACAAAGCCTTGCTCTTTGGCATCTTTCCCATAGACGTCAGGAGACCACTGAACAAAGAACGTGTACAAGTGATCCACCCTGAAAAACATGTTTGTCATAGGAGTTAACACCAAATCCACTTTCCTGGCAGGCACAAGTAGGGACTTGAGTACTTACAACCATCTTTTCCCAGCTTGGCAAATCCATCTTACTAATTTCCCACCGTGAGGATGGTCTCTACCAGTGCATTCCAAACTTGGAAAATAAGTCAAAAAGTGAAAGCAGAAGTCCACAGACACTGAGAACCTGTCTTTCAGTCTGAGGGAAAGATCAATAGACGGACATAACACTGAAAACCACAATGAAGTATTTACACCAAATATATACTCCTCATTGGGTCTTCACTTATTGAGCACTTGTATTCAATGGGGAAAAAAATTGATGTGATCCTTTAGTTGGACAAGATAAACAATACTTCAATGGGGTTTTATGTAGTTGAAGCAGTGTTACAATTTCAACAGAACACCTTTAATAACTACAAAGTAAATAATACTAGTTGTTGTTTCAATATTAGGAAGAGACCTAATCTTGTTGATATGGGAATGTGGTTTGCTTCCTATTGCTCTGTTCTCTCATACATATTTAACATCTAAAGGTACTGTAGCATCTCTCTGGACTTAATCAATAGAGAGATGGCTAATTTCCAAGATTATTGCTCATTTTAAAAAGTTATAATTAGATAAAAAATATTATAACAATGTTGCTATAGCTTGAATGTTTGTACCCCCCCAAATTCATATGTTGAAACCTCATCCCAAATGTAATGTTATTTCAACTAAGGACCTTTGGGAAGTGCTTACGTCATGAACCCTCATTATCGGGATTAGTGCCCATATAAAAGAATCCCTTTTCACCATGTGACACAGTAAAAGGACAGTCATCTCTGAACAAGGAAGTGGGCCTTTGCCAGACAAATCTGCCAGCACCTTGATGTTAGACTTCCCAGCCTTTAGAACTGTGAGGAATACATCTCTGTTGTTTATAAGCAAGCCACTCAGTCTATGGTATTCTGGTATAGCAGCCCGAATGGATGAAGACAAATATTAACAGAACTAAAACAAAAAAGAAATGTCCCCCACAATTCTGAAATCCCAATGGATCAAAAGGTTTTTAGGTTTCTATATTCCTATCTGTTCTTGTCCATATGTATACAATTTTCATTGTCATCAGGGCCAAGATATAATCGTTTGTGATATGTACCATTAAATTATGCACATCTGCCATGTTGCTAGTCTTTGCACTGATTCTTAATGGCTAATTTCATGAAAGTAATAGTCATGAATAGCCTGGATTCCTGTGTCCTCAGGATATTTAGCTTGTTCCCATTTCTTCAATTGTACAAATGTTACAGTGAACATCCTCAGGGTCTATGCCTTTCACCATCTTTTGAATTATTTCCTTGAGATTAGTTCCCAGAAAAGGAATTACTGGGCCAAAGGGCATGATTTTATAGCTTGTGATTCATCCTGCCAGGTTGCTTTTGAAAGGCTAACTCATTTACTCTGACACCAGCCCTGCAGTTTGCATTAGAGTTTCTTAACACTCTTGCTTACTCTTTTTTAAAAAAAAGAGTTTAATATATATTTAAGTTTTACCTGACTCACGTTGCATTTCTTTGAGTGTGTGAACAATTTTTGCATGTTTTCTTCCTGCTGCAGCTTTTCTTTCATGAATGGGCTCCTTGTGACTGTGGAGTCAGTGTTTTCCTTGTCAGTTCGTGGGAACTTTTATAGAATGTAAACATAAACCACTATGAAGTGTGTTTCAAAGCCCTTGTTTTCCTTTTATATTAATCATATCTTTCATAATATAGGATTATCAATTTTCATATATTTGAGAAGTGTTATTTCCTTGGAGATTACTCCTACTCCTTCAAAACGTGGAAAGCTGGATCCAAGATAAGGTGTGTATCAGGTGTAAGATATGTTACCGTTTCTATTAAAAAAAAATCAGATATAGATATAACTGTGCATGGGTGTGATGGTTAATTTTATATGACAACAACTTAGCCATTTTTTGGTCAAACACTAGTCTAGATGTTGCTGTGAAGGTGTTTTTTTTTTTAGATGTGATTTTTTTTTAAATCAACAGACTTTCAGTAAAGCAGATTACCCTCCATAATGTGGATGGGCCTTGTGCAATCAGTTGAAGGCCTTAGGAGAAAAAGACTGAGGTCTTCCTTAAAGCAAGAAGGAGTTCTGTCTCTAGACAGCCTTCAGAACTGAGATTACATTATCAAATGCTCCCTGGGTCTCTAGCCTGCCAGCCTCCCCAGCAGACTGCAGACTGGCCAACTCCCACAGCCATGTAAGCCAAATTCCTTAGAGCAAACCTGTCTGTGCATATTTACACACACATATCCTTTTGGTTCTGTTTCTGTGGAGATCCTTGACTAGGACAGTGGACTTTCTGAAAGGTGATATAAGAAACCGATCAAAATGGTTACCTCTGGGGAATGGAATGGGATGGAAGAATGACACGTTTTACATCATGTATGTCTTTAAGTTACTTTAAGTTTTGGGGTAGGCAGGACACTTTTATGGTTCAAACATTATAATTATATGTTAAAAAGTAAATGATGAGACGTTCCCTCTCACTCTCATCGCTGTCCACCAAGTCCCGTGCCAGCCTCTTCCCTGATAGGTGACCACTTTATTCATTTCCTGTGTATTTTTGTAGTGTTATATAAACAAATATAAATATATATTCTTTCTGTCTTCCATCTCTACAAAAGATGGTACTATTCTCTACCTTGCTTTCTTCATTTAACAATATACCCTAGGTACCTTTCCACATCAGTATGTAAATGGTTTCCTCATCCTTTCTCTTACAGCCACCAGTACTTTACTCTGGGGCTGTACCAGAGCTTATGTAACCATCCTCTTCGGATGGCCACTTGGGTTGTTTCCAAGACTGTGCTGTGACAGACACTGCTGTGACGAGTAACTTCGTATGTGAGTCACTTCACATTGTACAGGTATAGTTGTAGGATACATTCCCAGAAGTGGGACTGTGCTGTTAGAGGAGTATTTCCCTTATAACTTTGCTATATAAAGACCATTTGCCCTTTTTAGGAATGATATCATTGTCTTCCTATCCTAACAACGATATCATTGTTGCCTTCCTTGAATCTTTGAAGTATTTTTACCATGTAGCATAAAATTTCCCATTAAAAATTAACTTAGAAAAAATTAATCATCACTCCAGAGAGGTTTCATGAGTATACAATCCTAACTCTTTCAGTTTTCTAACACTTAAGATTTAGTCCATCTTAACTGTACTTTATAATAGAGAACCAAACATGCTTCACTCTAACTCTTGGAAAAGAAGACATTTACTATGCACATATCCACATTGAATAAAATGACTTCCTAATTATTTGCTAGCAAGCTTACCTGTGAGAAAGAGAAAAGCAGTCCCTGACACCTGGAGGTAGCCTGGCACTCATAGCTAGGCCCTCGTATTCTTCTGTTGAACATAAAACAATTTCACAAAGCTTCAACATCATGCTCTATGACTATGATGAATCGTGACAAAAACAAGACCACTTTGAGGTCTCATATCTGAATGTAAACAAAAACATGAACATGGGGCACCTGGGTGGCTCAGATGGTTAAGCGTCTGCCTTCGGCTCAGGTCATGATCCCAGGGTCCTGGGATCGAGTCCCACATCGGGCTCCCTGCTAGGCGGGGAGCCTGCTTCTCCCTCTGCCTCTGCCTCTCTGACTCTCATGAATTAAAAAAAAAAAAAAAAAAAAAAAAAAAGACATGAACATGGTCCAGCGACAAAAATGACCAAACATCCTTCCAATTAAAAAAAAAAAAATGACTATGCTTCTTTACTTATTATAGCATTAACCTCTCTACTCTTCCTCTCTAGTCTAGTTCCTCTCAGATAAGACTGATACCAATCATAGCATGACCTCTGCTTCCTGATAGCATCTAATCTAGAACAAATTCCCACTTCCTTAAGTCCTTCCCTGTATCACCTAACACAAATCTAAATCCTTTACCTCCTTTCTAGCACCCTCTTTCTGAGATGGCCCATGGTCCCATGCAAGGTTCTCCCTTACAGCAACAAGTCAACCCAACTCATTCAACTTTAGGTATGTTTCCAGTGGTCTCTAGCCAGAGGGCACTGTCTCCTTCAACAACATTCCCTGTGCACCCACTATGTGCCAGTGACCCTGCCCTCATGGAGATTACCTTCAGGAATATGAGAGCTGATGGGGATACTGGGTATCATTTAATTCAGCTAACTTTCCTTAGATATAAGGGAATGGGGCTCTGAAGTCTACTATCAGCCTCACAGCCAGGACCAGATCTTCTGAGGTGACAACCAGGGTTCTTTCAACCACACTACAAAGCCCTCCCCTTATTCCACCTTGATTTCTAAATTGTTCCCCAGTTCACTTCCTGGTTATGACACTAGACACATTTTTATCACTTTTTGGACTTACTTTCCATGAAGGACTGCTCATGTATTCTCTAACAGTTTACCCTCATAGGGAAAGTCACTGTGTAAGCATGAACATTGAAGAAGCATCCCAAGAAATGCTAAAAGCTCATGCTGACACATAACCCTGTGCAAAACTACAAGGGAATGAGGAATGTGGTACAGATTTTATATTAGGGGCACCTGGGTGGCTCAGCTGGTTAAGCATCTGCCTTTGGCTCAGGTCATGATCCTGGGGTCTTGGGATTGAGCCCTGTGTTGGGCTCCCTACTCAGTAGGGAGTCTGCTTCTCCCTCTCCCTGCTGCTCCTCCTCACCCCGCTCGTATCCTCTCTAATAAGTAAATAAAATCTTAAAAAAAAAAAAAAAATTTCATTCCTCCTTGGACATTAGAAGAAAATATAAACTGTGCAAAAAAAAAAAAAAAAAAGATTTTAAGGAGAGACCCTATCCTAGCGGTTGCCAGTTACTTCTCTTTTTGGTGACAAAGACATTAAATTGCTTGAGGCGACCATTCAAGCAATCCTTTTTATTATGCAGATGTAAGATAAGTAGGATTTATTATTCTGGAGGGAGATATAATT